ATATTTTTCTTCGGAATCAATAAAAGCTTCAAGTTATTTCATTAGTTTTTTTTTTCAAATAACAATTTTATTCATGTAACATTTTAAATCAAGTGTCATTTAAAATAGAACAAATTTTGTGAACAATCGTTTTTAATGTGTCCAACAAATGCCTGAATCAATTAAATTTAAACTAATAAATTGTTAGTTGAATAAATTGAGGAATGAATATTTGTGACAATGAAAAATAAAACGGCGTTCCATAGTTAATTCAATGAGATTTTTTGTTAAAAAGAAGTTTTAAATTTGGCAATCTTCAAGGTAGGGAATTAGGAATAGCTTTGTTTAATAATCATATCAAAGATCTTTAATATTACTCAGAATACTGGAAAATTATTATTAGTGTGACTATAATGTTCAAAAAAGCAAAATGTTCTATTTCCTAGATGTAAGATATATAAAATATTTATACGTAACTATTAATCAACACTTCAAGTAAGAATTTCATATAATTTTTCAATTCAAAATTGGGATGTCTCGTCCTCTGGACTGAAAGATCACGCTCTTGATAAAAATCAGGATTTTTTTATCAATAATTACTAAACTGATCCAAAGTTAATATATACGAAAATACTTATATTCCATATGGATGTTGGTTTCCATATCACTTCCAGATATTCAACCTCACCCGGCAATAGTATTTCAACTTGAAGTTTCAGAGGACCTTTCACCTCCAGCTAAATACTATTGATGAATGCTGTTAGGGTCCATGGGCTTATGTATATGAATAAAAACTCTGTTGGAGTACTTGTTATAGATTGTTTTGAAATTTCATATTCGTTTATCTCTTGAACAGTGATAAATGATTTCAAAATCATTTACATATTCAATACTATTATTATTATAATTCACTTCTGTGAAAACCCTATACAAATCATACTGAGTAGATATCTTTCTTCCAGTTGCACTGAAAAACAAAAACAGGCTAGTAAAAGACTCCTGACTTTGATTGATATTATAAATGAAACTGTCGGAGATGCAATTGCAGACATGTTATTAGTCGAAACAATACTTCACGCCAAGGGATGGAATATATCACAGTGGGAGGCTTGCTATACTGATTTACCAAATCGACTCTTGAAAGTGACTGTTAAGGTAACTTTATCAAGTTTTATGTCTGAAATTTAAGATATGACGATCAAGTTTAGACATTTATTCTAACCAATTTTCAGGATCGCAATGTAATTACAACAACAGATGCAGAAAGAATCTGCGTTACACCTAACGGCCTTCAAGATGCAATAAACTCTTTGGTTGTGAAATATGATAAAGGGCGGTCTTTCGTTAGACCTTCGGGAACTGAGGATATCATCAGGGTATATGCGGAAGCAGCCACAAGGAAGGAGGCTGACAAACTCGCAGCTGAGGTGGCTTTGAAAGTGTATGAACTCGCTGGTGGAATAGGAACTGCGCCAGAAGTACCACAATAAGCCACTTCATTTATACTTTTCATTTTTATATACTTTTGTCTTGATCATCAACCTACCAAGGTCGTTAAAGTGCTACAAATTTCCGAGTATCGACTTGGTAGTATTCAGTGCTGATGTGCAATATAAGAAAAACAATGGTAGGATTTTAAATCCTAATTAGTTTTTCAAACATCTTTCAATTTTACACCAACGAATTTTGAAGACTTCGTATTAAAATTTGTCAATACATGATTGAAAAAGTTTCTATACTGTGCACAAGTTCAGTATTCAGAGATAGAAATTTAATCAGATTTGATTTTTGCCATATCCATTTGATACATTAATTATGAGAAAAATAATGAGGGAACTATTGAAAATACTAAAAATAACAGGATCGAAATTTTCAATAGTTGGATATGAATTTTTTTTTATTTTTGTCATTTTTCATCAAGTTCATCGTTTGCATATAATAGACATTTCACTTATTGTTTGGCATATTTATTCTTTCATTTTCATTTCAAGTCGATCATTATTTTTTACAAATTTGCATAGACACACAAATAACATATATGATGGAAACGTTTCATTTTTTTCGAGAATAACCTACCATCGATTTTGCATATCATCGTCTGCCTCTATTTTTTAATGAACACATCATATATATTATTGAATGAAAAGTAACCTAAATTTCTCCATTAGGACTCAACATGCAAAATAAAAGTATTTTCAAAGAATAAATTCTCTTTGTGCGATTAATTATCTTCTAGTCTTAAAAAAGATAAACGCTATTAGGGCAAAGCAAAAAACCCTGCCAATTTATACATATTCTATGGATGAAAATANATATTCATGCCTAAAATTTTAAAACTTTTTATAAAAATAATACTCTAGTGAATTAACCATCAATAATTTATTTTAATATATATATTGTTTACAATTTGTTACAGTTACATTTTTTTTTTATAATGTAGGCTTTATCTTGTATTTTATGTACAGTGTATAAATTTGTTCATTTTTAATATTCGGAAAATTGTTTTATTGTCTGTTGTGTTATTGATAGGCTTATTTTATATTTGAGATTGTATTCACTAAATTTTCAGCTACAACATTTTCATTAAGGTTATTAACATTTATCGACATCTAAAAGTAACCAAACCAGTGAATCAAACAAGTACTTTTCTCAAACACCAGAACTGCAACACTTTTCTCGACGCGCTTCACCAATCAACTTGGTATCTTCAGGAGGTGAACTAGATCAATCTCTATTTACATTTATACATCCGTGCTTTCTGGTACAAATTCATGGGAAATTTTCTTGTGAAGGTTCCCGCTAATTTTAAAAGAGCTATTCATATACAGATAAACAATAACCGGTTCTAAAGGGACTTTTGTCCCTTTAGAATAGCAGTTGTTCTGGATTTATTCTATGCCTGAGGTTCCATTTTCATCTTTCAAAACTAATGATAGTCATTTGATATGAACCCAGTGTGTAAATGAAACCAGGCGTGAATCCGAATGAAAGTGTCTTTTTAAATACCACCTCTATTTAAGCTGTTAGAACAAAATTAGGTTCACTTAGTTTAGCTTCTAATTATAAACTTGTATTCAAAAGATACTTGTCATTTTGTGAAAAAAAATAACCTAATACATATGAATGCTTTTGTTAATATTTTTTGTTTACTGAAAATTCTATATCTATTAATTTATTCTTCTAGTTTGTTAGTTGGCAATAATTGCATTTATAATAAAATTTTCTCTTGCAAAACATTTAGTTTTTAATTGAGCAATTTTGATTACTCAGGTTCCTACTCCTTTTGACTACTTCTTAATTTAATAGTTTTTCAAGCAGNAATGTTATATGTATTTCATAAATATTTATATAAAGAATACACAAATTTAAGCTGTTGAAAAAAAAGAAGAAAAAAAATTAACTATTAAACTAGATCAAAATGCATGGAACATCTGTGTATCCACTTACATCTGTTAAATCTTTGTCAAAAATACTCGACCCTTGATACAAGTGTATTGTTTTATTTTTTCAATGAGGTTTCGAAGCTGCCCATGGAAGTAAGTAACGATGAATTATTCTGGAAGGAATTATGAACAATGCCTCGTCTACTCACAAAATGGTGATATAGGCTGGAAGAATTCGAGAATCTTCTGTTGCTCTATAAATCCTGGCCAAGTTGCCGAGAAAAATCGGTCTAGTCATCTACGGCAATAACAATTGAAAGGCAGTCTTTTGAAATAATTTCAGTGATTGAGTAATGTTTTACTGGACATGTACAAGGAAGTCAATTTAAATAATTTCTTATATATTGAGGGCGCATTCAATAATATGTCGAGAACAGGGATTGATGATACAAGCTGCAGGAGAATGCTTATTTTCTAAGTAAGAAGGCACCAACTTTAAAGCAGTATGAAATACACAGTCAAGGACCTTTATCACAAAGTGCCAAAGAAGTATGTTTTCCCTGATTGATGCCTTGGCCACTAGTTGGTAAGCAGCCTTGATGGTAAATTTATTTTTTACAAAATAAATGTTTCAACTCATTGGTATTAGAGGGTATTTTTCTGAATTATGCTGAACAGACGATAGTTATTTGATGTTGATCTGAGGCCCTTCTTGAATGAATGTACCATCCTTGAAATTAAAAAATATTCCAGATGAAAATATTTTATTAGTCAAGACGTTAAAGGTTTAGTGATTATATCAGCAACTAATTTACACATTTGACTATTTAAAAGGTAGATCTATTGAAATCACGTTACCTCACACCAGAGCAAAAATACTATCTCTTAAAGTGGAATGTTTGCCTTCATGGAGCTGAAGTTTCACAATCAATAGGAATCTATTTTTGTGCCATTGAAACTGATTTCATTAAAAATGACCTTGATACTTGGGACACGTCCATAAATAGAAAAAACTACCAGAATTTTTGAGTCAGAATTTCAGTAAGGATTATGGAAATTAATACCCTCCCTGTTTGTCCTACATATAACATTTATAATAGGCAGTAAGCACTGGAAAGACTGATATGCACAAATCATTTTAATTGTTAATTCCATTCCAAATAATATATAGTTTACGGAGTATTTCAGAACTATGGGGTCCAGTGTATGCTACGTAAAAATAATAATACTAGTGACTTCATCTCTAGTATTTACCTTTTGATATTGAATTGCATTCCTTTTTTTGATACAATTTGTGAAGTGACTGTTTTGTTACAAAAATACTGTATTCAACGAATAATTATTTTGTAAAGAATATGACTTTATACTTGAATCGCTAATACAAATGTCCAAATATAGATAACCATAGTGTTTAGTAAATCCAGTTGAGTCTACAAAAATTTGTATTTTTTTATATTACAGCATGGTTACATTAAACATACCAATTTCTTCAGTTTCTCTTCTTTGCTATAAGTGATAGATTTCCCTCATCTTGAAAAAATTTGATCTTTATTCCATTTTACCACTTCCTAAAAGACTACCTATTTCAAACTGGTATTCAAGTTCATATTTCTGGATAAATCTTTTGTCTCCACAACCACGAATTACACCTAGTAATTCTGAAAATATTTTTTGAGTTGAATGTCCTATGATAGAAGTTTTTCCCAACACATTTCACATATGAAACTTGAAATAGGGTCGGTGAATTAACTGGTTGAACATATTATTCTTTGCTGGTTAAAAGTAGTGGGTTCTTCTTTACCTTAGATATTTCTGAAACATTTTCCTTATCGACTTGTCCTTAAATTGACCAAACTCCGAAACATTAGATTTTTACTTTATTAGCCAAGCCAGAACTTGGACAATATTAGAAAGAAATAGATTATGGCTAGATTTTTATTTGAATTTTTTCGATCGAATTTCAATTTTGTAGGTCGAGGAATCAATCACCTTTTATGAAAATTGTTGCTCATATATGTTATAGATTGAACATTTCAGTGATACATAATTAATCAACATAAAGTCGATGATTTTCAATAACTGAAAATCGAATTCCTTCGGAATATCATTCCTCAATAGATGTCAGTCCATTAACCTACAATGTAGAGAGTTGAGACTGACCTGAACAAATTGTTACTTTAGATGATTTGATTTATAGCCAGTCTTCAAGTATACCCACTGACTATATGTGGAATTTAATGGTAAGTATTTATAGTGTTGAGTTGTAATTTGTATATTAGTAACCCACATAAAGACGGCACATTAACATCACAAAATGTTACAATTTTCTATCTTTATATCACACAACAGTTCCCAAGTAGAACAGAAAAGTCAGAATCATAAGAATATTCAATTTGTCACAGATTCTGATTTATATACAACTTTCTGTTCAATATTTAGTAGTAACCCTTCTGCATCAACGTGAATATTTTTTTTAGACATTTCTATAGATTCCAATGTATTCGTCATCATTATAGAATTTCAACAACAATGTGGAAATAGTGTTAATCCCAGGGTTTTATGCACGTTACAAATATTTTAGTACTTGTAAATTGTATTTCAAGTCAATTGATTACAAATATCAATAATAGATTTGTCATGTTGTTCAGCAAACTCAAAGGTTTTTATCAAAGTATTAACATCTTTAGATTGTTTACAATTTATCCAAACTTTTCCGTTCACTCCTATAGCAATTTCATAGGGAAACTTTTTTCCCAGCGTTCTCAATAAAGGATTTTCAATATCTAAAAGTTTTTGGGCTAGACCAAGACTGATGTTTGTGAGGAAACCATCGTTACTCAAAATTCCAAGTTTCCCAGCTTTGTAATAAGAGTCAATACAAACTAGTTCTGGTTCCATCTCGCGGTGAGCATTCAACAGTTTGGCATAGACAAGATCACCAACTTGAACATCTGGCTTATGCTTCTTAGTAGCTCCTTCGAAAGATAACATTGATAAAGATGCAAATTCTGCACTTCCAATATCTATTTTCAGGGAATCGCCAGCTTTCTTCACAACTATTCCGACTACCAGGTCGCCTCGCTTTGGTATGTAATGGTTTCTATTTCCTTCAATCCAATAAGTGTTTGGCTCTTTAAAACACAATTTACCTGCCTCAGTTATGTATAGTGTATTTGGGTTCTCTTCATTCTGCCTCAGACCGGGCCCAATTACTGTAACACCTCTGAGAGACTTTATGCTATCACTTACAACTTCTCCCGGTAAAACAAAGTCTCCTATTTTGGCCATGTTTATAGAAATTTCAGTTTGTAGTAGGATAAAACCACAGAATAGGTAATAAAAAATATAAAACTATGAATTGAACCTAACCAACGTAAAATGCAACCTTCTTCTTCTTCTTTTTTTATGAGTTGGTTTCTAACAGAGTACACCAATGTACTTTTTGGTTTCTAAGACTAACAACTCAGATTCTATCCTTGCTGGGATACTTTTTTCGAGAGAATTTCAGTTCGCACACTGAATCAGCATCCCACACTACGTTGATAGATCTCATCTTCTGACAATCATTTTTGTTTCTCTCCGTGTATACCCATAATATTTCGTAAGCGTTGTTCCCTCTGTATGGTTATGGTACTTGTAGACACTCCTACTCATCATTTCAACAAATGTAGCTGTTATAGACTCATTCTGGACAATAAACTCTACTATCATAAAAAAATACCCCATTTTTCAAAAATTATCAGCTGTTGACAATCTAATGAATTCGAACTAATCCGGTAGTTGTAGGCCATTTAATAGATTGGTTAACAACTAGCATAGAGTTGCCATGCCTATATATATAATATCCCCCCGATTATCAACTAAACCAACCGCCACTGTTTTATGGTCCAACTTACTTCCCGTAAACAAACAAAGTTATGCTGCCTTCATTGTAAGGATGGAAAAGGCCTCTCTATTGTCTTTTGTTACTCTGAGGTTAACAAGTACCTGCTGTTTGTGGACAGTTGTGGTGGACAGTCGCATTATTTAATACTGAATGCAGCATCTAGGGCATCTATCCTTTTTTAGTTGTGGGTCAATGCTCTTTCTCATTCCATATGCACATATACTATCAATGCTAAGTCTATGAATAACAGTGAAATTTATATTTGTACATAGGTGTAAAATTATAAAAATAAAATAATTGCTGAATCAAAATTATGGTAGAAGAGACTATAAATTCCAATAATAATACCAAAGTAGGATTTTTTCAAAAAAGAAAAATCAATTGAATTGACATTGTTTGTTTTAGACAAAAGTTAACAATAACAAACCAAAGTCTGTTTACTCTTGGAATGTAACTGATGTGCAAAAGTGGCTGAGAAGACATTGTAGTGATTACCAATGTTATATGGAAAATTTCGTTCAGCATGATATAACTGGCCGCACTCTTTTGAGAATCACTGACAACTCACTAATTCGACTCGGAATCACTCATGACGTTCATCGAGAAGTGATATGGAGACAAATTTTGAAGTTGAGGTTGAAAACTGATGTAATGGAAATCAGAGATTTACAGAGACGAAATACAAATAATATGTTTTATGACTATTCTAATGCTTAAGAACATATGTGAAGCAGTTTTTATTGAAAGTAGATGACTTACTTAAATTCTAAAAAAGTAAGCACTTTTACTTTCCCCTCACAGAACCACAAAAATATGTACCAGTCTTAAAAATATGTCTCAAATTACTGTATCACTTCAGAATATTTTCTCATTCTTTCTCTCCTATAAACTTACTTATATTTTGTTTTCTAATAGTAATTTGAAATTTCCTTGCCAAACGTCAAATTGATATAGAAAAGGGCATGCTAGAAGTTTTGGTTCTTTAAAGAAATAAAAATGAAATAGGTAGCCAGGGTTTGGGGAGAGCAGTTGTAAATGTTTAATAATTGCAAAATAATAATCTCAATTAACCATACAAGCTGATGAAAAATATTATCGTTGATCATACTCAGCCATGGGATGAGTGTTTTGAAGTACTGATACATTGACCTGTCCTAATCAAACAATTTTCACACTATCAGCTCTACTAAAGATGTGTTTCGCTACTCAGTAGCTTAATATCAGTACCAGCTCAACTGAGGAAGCTACTATGTAGCGAAACAAGTCCACAGAAAAGTTAATAGTGTGAAAATTGTTTTATTGTAATGGATAGTGTTGGTGTGAATGTGAAGAACCTAGTAAAAATTGTTATTTTCGGTTAATCTTTTTGATTTTTTCAGGGTTATCAAATCAATTTATATTATATTAAACAATGGAAGTCCGAACTGATGAAATAACCTAATATAATCCTATATTTGTGGTTTATGACTTCAATATAGGTAGGCTAATTTGTATTTTTTTTTGTGCAATTGTGTGAGTGTAGCAAAAAATATAAGCATTGCCATAAATATAGTAAGTTTTGCAATATTCAGTCAGTAGATAATAAAAATAATAATGAATAGGAATAGCCACTATGTGTGATATTAAAATATATGATGTGCCAGATTAGCTACAGAAGTTGAAAATACAACTCAAGCCTAACTTATTGGTAAAAAATACATTCGGATAGTAAATTACATGCTTATTGACATGTGAGGACATCATTTTATCAACTCCCCAAAATTAAAAGCTACTCTTGTGGTCTTAATTTTGAATATTTCTTGTGCATCTGATTTGAGACTGTAGTTTGTCTTTCAGTTATACTAGCTTAGCATTGTTATAAGAATAAAGAATTCTAAAACCACTTTGAAAAATATGTTTCACATTTATCCTCTGTTTACGTTTTCTCGTTTTTTATAGGAATATAATTGTTAAGAAACATTTGATTTTTATTTTGTGTTATGACAGCAAGATCAGCCAGCTAATATTAGTCGAACAAATGCACAAGTACATAATGGATTCTTATAAGTTGTGTGATATGATAAACAGGATTCGTCCTCCCTAGTCTAGCATAAAACCTCGCAGGATAAAATTACAACAGTAGGATTCCAGTTATTTGAATCAATTGGAATAAACTCTAATTTTTAAGAACAGAACAATTGAAAATGATTTGAGTGACTGAAAAACTGAAACTGATTCTACTGTAACATACTGTAAACATTATATACCCATGTAAAAATAACTTCGTAAACATTTCAGTAATTGCTGGTTCATACACCAACTCATCTTTCGTTTTAAGAAAGTTGTCGCAATGCATATCAGTGGCAGCTAACATACACATTATTTTTATTTTACTTCATTGTAAAAGTGTAGTGAATACTCCCATTGATTCATGTTATGACAATGTGAATTATCAGTTGCCAACTGATGAAGCCACCAAAACGCGCCCTAAATAAAAGTATGTTCCGTAACGTTCGCGATTTTGAGAAATATATGGTTTTAAAAAAGTTTTTTATCGTTTACTTCATTTATATACAAAATGTATACCAAGTTACCAACTAACTAGTCTCAACATTTTTTTTCAGCGCCTTCATAAACAAAACTCAGTTAGAACCTCATTGAAACGAAACTCCGTTAAAACATCAACAATCTGATGTAGAGGTTTGTATTGTATTGTATTGTATTTATTTATTTATTAAGTAGGCAAGCCTAATATACGGAGACTGCATATCTGAAGGTGAGGTTCCATTACAACCCCGCTTCAGGAAAAAAGACCAAAAAAACAAAGAAGAAATAAAATCTACTACATTCTCAATAACCTTATATTCTGTCGTTATCGGTGATTTTTTGACTGTCAATTTATAGTTGTATGAATTATGGCTTTACTTAGCTTCCCTACAAAAGCATTATTTCGAAACCGATTTCACTGTTGAACCTGCCTTGTACAATTCATAATACTATTTGATCAAGCTTAGACCGGCCATACACGGACAGTTGTAATTCAACAGCCAAAACTACTAGTTAAAACTGTAAACTTTAATGACCACAAATAGACAATTCAATCCTTCAGTTTTCACAATGAATTCGAACGCAAAAGGACGATTTAGTCATTCTTACTTTACTTGTTCAGATTTTACAAAAATATAAGATGCTAAAACTTGGTTAGCGAAACGGGCGTCGTGAGACAGTATTTTTGTTTCGTTCTCGCGGGGAAAATATTAATTTTATGCCAAAATTTCCAAATTCTACTAATCACATAAATAGTTTGGTTTACGCGACATGATGGAACTGAAAAGTGATCAAAACATAAACACGCTCGCTTCAAAAACAAGCTTACGGAATATAGTTCATTTGAACCGCCCCACCCATACAGAGTATAGTCAATCCTTTCTATTAAAAATATTGAATTTTATTTTTTCTGAATAAGAACAACAAAATCAAATCATTGCTCTGAGATCGGGCCCTAATTTAATACCAATTTAACACAACCTAGAATAAATGTCAGTGGTGCCAATTGCCAGGTGTACCTAAAATATATGGTGGAATATGAACCAAAATAAAATTAAAATACCCAAATTCATCAAATAACATGGTGTTTTGTTTACCCGTACTTGTATTCACGGTCGTATAGTATAAGCAAAGAATAGTGTATGAGTATGGCATTTTCGTAAAAAATATATTTTGCAAAATTCTTTCCTGGGTGCTTTTATTATTTTTCCGGGAAATCTCTTGGTTAATCTGAAGTACAGGTAAAAACTTCATACATTTTTTCAAATGTCTTTTTAATGTATTAATTAGTTGTCAGTATCTCACTTGAATTGAAACTGGATGGAGGCAGGAATACATATTCAATATTCATTACATTTTCATTCGCAATATTAATTTTAACTACGTTGAAGTCCTAAGATCAACTATTAATTAACTTAAGGTTAAAACCCATCATTTGCTGCTTTATTTTATTTAACTTGAACCCGTTTTAAGATCCAAGAACTACAAATGATTGCTTGAAAAGCTTGTCTCAGTACGCCTTTAAAATTGTTCTGTTATAAACAAATATTAACAATTTGAATAATAATAGAATTATTTGAAAAAAATTGCAATCTTCATTTCCAATATTCATTTAGCTGTTAACTATGAAATATTTGTTGAAATCGTTGAGTAATTGATATACTGAAGCACTCGTTAACGTCTTTGCAGTTGTTTCAAAAATATATTTTCATAAATCAGATCGAAGATGTAAAATTCAAATTCATACAGGTTACTGTAAAACTGGACATGATCATTAAAGACATTGTGTTTTATTTTATTAATCACCTTACGTTTTCCTCATGTACTGTGAATCTGAATATTCAAGGAGAATTGTAACAATTCAACTGGCAATAATGTATCAATTTTCATTGAATTCTTTTTCTCTCATGACATATTTCAATTTACCACCCACTGATGGTGGTATTTTGAAATACAATCATGACTCTTAACTATTCCATTTAAAATGGAAACTATCTTTTAGAATGCCTAGGTTCAAAAATTCAAAACATCCATGAGTAATAAGAAGATAAATGTAAATGTTTATATTAGAATATTCGTTATGTCCAGAAGTACCCATGTTTTTATTAGTTGGTAATCAACAAGTTCCATTGTTATATTGAGTATATTTTGTCGAAATATTAAGTATTTCGTAGAATGTATATTTACCACTGGAGTTTTTCACACATTAACATTATACTTCCTGATTCGGTATCATTCCCAAAAATAAAACGTTCACAAAACACACTGAAAAATTGAGTTCATGTATACATCTAGCTCAGTCTTAGAGTGTGGATTATATAAAGCATTATCTTTATCTGTGGTTGTTGTGTTTTTTGGGAAAAGAATTCATTTCATTTAACAAATAGAACAAGCTTTATTGTAGTGGAAGGATATTGTAATTTTTACTCGATGGACATGATTATTCTCCAAGCAGTGATTTTTTTTCTTTCTGCGACAAAATCGCAGACTTGACTTTTGTTACAAGTATTCCACTTGAACACAACTTATATGTCAAAAAGGTAGTGAAATTATTTAGTTGGCGATGTGTGACAGAGTTACTATAGTAAATGGAAGTATTGATTACTTGAAAATGTTTACTGAAAGGCGTGACTGGTATTTTGAAGAAAAGTTAGGGGAGGGTACGAAAAAACATCAGCACTATCAACCTTTATGGATAGAGAAGTATATAAATTATTCAGGAATATATGTAAGTGAACAATTGCTCTGAAAGACAAATCTTAGATTTCATTGAAAAAATACTCTTAGATCTTCATAAAAAGCCAATTGGTGTACGTCCCCAACAAATAATGCTTAATAGCTGAAACATTTTAGTATGTCACAGTAAAGCAATCGACACCAAAATATAATTATTTAGTTTAGTATCTTAACACTTGAAGAATAACTTTGTAAATACGAAAGGTTGCCCAATTTTATATCAACTGTGTGAGAAACCAGAACGAAATAGCTAACAGAACTTCAATTACAAAAAATTAATTACATTGCAAAAGGTCTATAAAAAAAGAGAATTTTGAAAATATTCAGAGTATTGCAATGAGAAAAATTGAATGTGAACAGATGGATGAACAAATAAAATGAAAATAATTGAGTAGAACTGGCCGATACTTGATGAAAATCCAAATTAAAACTAATTAATCAGTTTATTCTATGATTTTATAGTGAAAATTATACAATAAACTGTATTAATTAGTTTTAAAATGAATTGAATGAAATATTATTCGTAATTATTGAAAATACTACAAATTACCAAATCGAAATACTCGGATGAATTGGTTGAAACAGAAAAAAATTGAATAAGCAATGAGTATAAAAATTAATAAATGAAGCAAACAAAGTATTGGGTAATCAATTTTCAGTTTAGCTCACATAATAAGTTGGCTGAAACCAGTGTTCCTACATTTTTTAAATTTTTATGCTCATTGTTTATTAATTCTTGTTTCAACCAACTCATTCAAATATTTCAGTAGGGTAATTTTTTATATTTTCAGTAATTACAAATAACATTTCACGAAATGAGTAGCCATACTTGGAGACTGGCTGTGAATCAAATTATCTTATAGAACAATTCTTCTCTGAAAGGAATTCGATTTTCAATTATGGGAAATCATCGACTTCATTGTTGATGATAGACACTACCTTGCACTGACAAGTAGCCAAACAGCCCGAAACCGTGTCTCAAGTGTATTCCAATAATTGAAAATCGATTCCGGCAGTTGTATTGCCAACATAATATGCAGGAATAACTTCAGTGAATCCTGCACTGACACCTGTCGGATATAACCCAACGCCCTTCGTGGTATTGGCCAGGGGAGTAGTTGTTTTCTGATAGGTATCAGTCCATTAGCCTACAGTGTAGGTAATTTGAGACTCCCCTGAACGAATTGTTCTTTTAGATAATTTGAATAACATTTCATTCAATTCGTTCTTCCATAGATGTCAAGTCTGTTAAAACATTTTTCAGACAACAGAAGTCCAAACTTGTAACATTTAATTGAACTAGTACTATGCATGCCTGGTCTTTTCCGTAATTTCTGATGAAAGTTTTTTGTTGTAGGGTACTCAATATTTATAATGACCATCTCCAGGAATTGTCAAAATGCTCCTGTGATGGATTATAATACACCAGAGATGGAAACTCCAGCAAAACTGCCTGGTCACGAACCAGCAGTTGGTTTTACGAGAAAACTCCTTCCATTGGCAGCATTCTTTATGGCCTTCACCACTGTTATGACTGTATTGATAGTTTATATGGATAATACTGGTAAATGAGTTTCTCAGCAAAATTACCTAGTTTCCCCTGAAATGAAATCATTGATGAATCTTATGCTTATACAAAATTGAAAATGTTCTCTTGAGTATCATTTCTGATTTTTCAGCTATGAGGCATTATCAGTTTCGGGTGAATATGAGTCAAGATTATGATCTTTTGGGTGTTTCCCAAGATGACCCACAACTAGTTATGTATATTCGTGAGGTTCACCTATCTCCGGCAATCGAACTACATCATAAACCTTTAGAATCTAAAGATGAAATATCCCAAGACACTGCTTATGTGCTAAAGCTTTTGAAGAACAAGGTGAGTTCTTACGTATCAAACAAGTTATGAATACCCCTTTGTGCACAATATCTATTATCAACAAATATATATAAATTCAAAGTCACTGTATAATGGTTTTTTTGAAGAATGTTAACAGTATTCACAAATTTGACACTACTTACACATGTCCCTAATTGAATAGAACTGGCCGATACTTGATGAAAATCGATATTAAAACTAATTAATACAGTTTATTGTATGATTTTCACTATAAAAGGTTTTACAAAAACCACGACACGTGTTTTGCTATAAAATAGCTTTCTCAAGCGTGAAATAAATCACACACATGTCCCGCCACCCGTCAAGCTGGCAACATTAAACTCCCGATCTCATCACTGACACTCATCAAAAATTCAGTAATTTATGGAGGTGTAAAATGTTCAATCACTTACCAAAACACATTAAAGAAAGTAGAACATTTCAGAAAGGGAGTAAAAGCTCTCCTGTTTGTTAAATCTTATTATACTTTACAAGAATTTTATAGTGACTCATTCTAACTCAAGCTTGTTTTAATATGTTGTAAGATGTTTCTCATGTGCTAGATTTCTTCTGCTAGATTTCTTCTTTCTGTGTGTGTATTTTACTTTACCTTAATTTAAGATTGTTTCGGGCCATTTCTTTGTCAACAAGATTTTGTCTCTCTCTCTCTCTCTCTCTCTCTCTCGTGTCGAGGTGTTAAAAATAACGATTTGGTGTTGGGAAAAAACTCCAGTAATTTTCAAAGAGATGTTCAAAAAATATAGTACAATGACTTGTGTTAGCTTCTAAATCTGACATACACATAGACACTTGAAATTTTGATCTCTTTACTGTGAATAAGATAAAACTGGCTATCATAATAGTATATTATGCAACGATCATGTAATGATGGTAGATATCATTATGAAACGGATTATGGTCATATAAGTGTATTGTTAGAGTACGGGTGTAGAAAAACAAAATAACTCTGAATGAACATGAATGATAATACATTTAATTTTATTGATTAAAGTACACAAATGGGTTTGAAATTTCGGATGTCAAAGTCAATAATTTCTTTTTTAGCAAAATGGTTTATTTGTTGAAGCTGGAGCATATAATGATGGAAAAACCTCGAAAACAGAATGGCTAGAAGAGAAATTCAATTGGAAAGGTCTCCTAATTCAACCTGATCCAAGACACTACTTCAATCTCAGAAGACATAACCGAAAACGGTCACAGGCTATCCATGCTTGTCTAAGCCCCACTCCTTATCCAAAAGAGGTAACACTCCATCAAGAATCTGAAGGAGTGAAAATAAACAGCATACACTCCAGCCTTCTTGATGACAGTGATTGGTTCAATACCAGAGTGAAATGTTTTCCTTTATTTTCTCTTCTTTTGGCCATGAATATAACAAATATTGATTATTTCAGCTTAGAGACAGGTGGTACAGAATTGCAAGTACTTGAAACTATACCATTTGAACGGGTCAATATAGAAATTATAGGTGTCCACTTGACCACAAATGACACTGAAAAGGGAACAATTAGAAAATTTTTGGCCACCAAACAGTATAAATTCATGCAGAGTTTCAAGACCTCTTATATATTCATGATGAATCATGTGAAAATATAAAAGTTTCACTATTGGAGGAAATGCAGGCCATAGTATTGCAAAATAAACTTGAAAGAAAAACAAATCATCAACTCAATATTTAGTCAAGGAAATAGTTTTAAAAATCAATTGAATCACATTTGATTCAAACATTTCATATATGTATTGACTGTGAGAAAACTGCAGAAATTTTGCAATACTAGCTTCAATATCTTCCTATGATTTTGACAAGACTCTCTTATACAAATGTTTCATGGAAGAAATTTCAGAAATTGTTTATGTGTAAAATGTATTTCTGAATCTCCATGAAATCTGATGTGCCTTCACCACTCATTTTAACCCTCTAGTGCACTTATAGGTAGGTGATAGATGAGTAAGTTTTATTTTATGGAGACTGATAGCAGCTTTTCAAAATGTTAGTAGCATAGAGATGCCTAAATTTAAGGTGTACCAGGAAAATTACAGAGTTTACTAGCCTCTTCGAAATAGTTTGTTTGGCCTATAAGGCTGTTATTTATTTCATCAGCATAGTTTGGCACAGACTATTTATTTTGTCATTTTTGAAAAAAATTTCAAGGTAGGTACTGTTAAAAACAAATTCTTTCGAAATTTGTTTCCCCACTTCAGCTATGTAAGTTTCAGCAAAAAAGACAAGTTTGAGGAAAAAAAATCCACCTCTCAAGTATTCATCTGCTTTACTTTCCACAGCTGAAATCAACTCATGGATATATACTTCACTTTTTTTTTCAGCAAAGAAGTAGTGTAGTTCAATCACGTGAATATGTTTCAGTAATCAATAATAAATATTTGTTTTTATCATCCTAGGTTCATATAAATTGCAACTAATCTGAATCATACATATTTTTTTATGAATAATGGAACTTTAAGGGATTATATTTTTTGACAGCGCTCAAAAAAATAGTATATCCACCAATTTATTTGAATTTTTTTCATCACTGACTAACCATGATTACCCCATGATCTTTTATTACTTCATAAAATGTATTTTATCTGAACTTGTAGCACAATGTACACGTCTATACTACACATCCCTTTGCTTTAGTTATTTGATAACCACTTTTGTCCAGTTTATGATGAAATATTTTGTGTTACGCATGTGCCCAAACCTAATTTTTAATAGTCTCAGCACTATTGAGAACTCTCTGTCGTATCTCATATACACATCTTTAATGCATTTTCAAAAACTACAGAATGAGTAAAACCAATTCCATTAAATGATACGTGAATGCAATATCTAAGAGAGGCAACTGAATCAAACACATACATTCTCAAGTTTCTCCAGCTTTACACTTGCTAACTGACCTAAAATCGGCTTTGTCAAGCTGGACTTATTTGGTAGATTTTGAACTGGTGTGAGCCACAATAAACCCTTGCGGATGGCATTGGAGGGTTGAATCCACTCACTTTAGACCTACCTTTGTACATAATTCTGGTAGGTGGTTTTTTGAATATTTTTACAAAAAGGGATTGCTATATCATTCAAATCAAATGTAGCAAGTCATGACTTGCTATAAATGTAACTACTTAACGTATCTAAATATATCTCAAAGTTTTTGTATTGTATTGGTAGCAAATTGTCTGCATAAATTTGTTTTTTATCATTAATAACATACACGGAAGTGGCTCGTTCTGAAGATGAAATTTATTTTTTTTTGTTCTCATTAAGTATCAATTTATTTTCCCGAATCACTGTTGTCAGCATAGCCGAAACTCGTACAATTTCTTTGTCAGAACAAAATAATCACTTGCACACACTAGAAAGTTTATATTAGCTGGAAGGTCAGTAATTTAGTAGTGACTTTTTTCCTGGGTCATTTTTGAAAATTATAAATAGACTTTGGTTAGGTCCAAAGTGAGTGGGTCTATTCGACCCTCCAACGCAACCCGCAAGGGTTTATTGTGGCTCACAACTATTCACACTCGACCAAATAAACCCTACAACAGAGTTGTAGTCATAAATTATCAATTCACTATAAAGGGAGTTACTCTCTTTTTTTGTTAAGTATCCCAAAATTTTGTAGGCCGAGGAATCAATCACCTTTTATGAAAATTGGTGCTTATATATGTTATAGATTGAACATTTCAGTGATACATAATTTGTTTTTTGTAGGTACTTCTTCCTTTTTGATATTTTCTTGGAAATTTTGTTTAAAAAATACTCATTTGTTGATAGCAAATGAAGTAGTGTTTCCAGAAACTCTTAAAAATATTTGAATTGCCGTTGCTTCTTTATTAATTTTTACCTCAATTTTTTTTAATAGTCATTTTTCAATAGCGAACAGTCACAAATGAAGCCCAATTTTTCTGATTAGTTTTATAATCAAAACCACCTGGTACACCATACTCCTGAATTGCCCTGTAATATATTGTAAGTACGTAAAGAATTGCTTATATGACTGGTCAAAAAATTCAATACTCGCAAGATCATGAACAATATTCTGATTTCACCGCTAGATATAGTTTTAGGCATTTAATTACTTATTAATTCGTTATTAATATCAATTCATTCATTCCAAATAATGAGCAGATAAGTTAAGAAAAATTTTGATTTTTACAAAGAGGGTAATTGTAAAGTTTAGAAAATGCCTTGAAATTATAATAGAATGCAAAATTAATTGCTTGAAATTATTTTAAAACCCTTGCATTTAGTTTTTTTCAGTATCAATTTGAAACTAATAAAATTTTCTTCTTAAATATGTTTCAGTTTCAAGACCATGTAATTATAATTTTTTTATTCATACTTGTAGAAAGTAAATTCACATTTTTTTTATTATTGAATTGAATATGTAGCTCTACTGTGATTTATTCGAAATTTTTTGTATCATTATTCTTAATGTTATGTTCGAATTATATATTTTGTAGACATTTTTTGTTTTATTTTTAATTCGATAACTTGTGAATGATCCGAGGGTTTAATCTCCATTAATATTTCAACAATCTACCAAAAAATACCATATGTACTTGAAGACATGCATATCATATCACCCTCGTAAAATTATCGTCCAGAGTTATAAAGAGTTCTCGAGTGATGGCAAGTAGTTGTTCGTTTTCATATTTTATTAGGAACAGAATTGAGTTAAATGAAATTTGAACATTGTAGTAAAATTTTTGTTAATACCTTAGCTAATATCTCTCCGTCAGTTGATATTATATCCCAATATAATAGTAATGTACTTTATGACTACAACTTTAAACTATCCACAGTTGACCAGTCTTTGGTATCCCAAACTCTATGTCAAATAAAAACCAATGCAATTGGATATGATGGTTTGAATATCAAAATGATTCTTCTATGCTGTCCGGTAATTCTTCCTTATTTTACCCATATCATCAATTACTGTCTCACCAGTAATGTGACCACTACCAAAAACTACCAATCCTCAAGAAATGAAGGACCTTCGTGCAATAAGCATTTTACCCACGATGTTAAAAGTGTTAGAAAAAATTGTTAATCATCAGCTGACGAATTACCTGAATAAAAAGTCATTTTTATCGCCGACACAATCTGGATATAGAAGAGGACATAGTTGCACTACCGCCTTGCTGCATATGGTTGATAATATTCTCTCAGGTTCAGATAAAGGTTTATGTACAGCCCTGATACTTCTGAATAATCGAATTGATTCCCCCGAAATCCTACACTTGATTCCGTTTCATGTCCCTTCACGCCGTACTCGACATACAATTATGTTCAATATTTCTGTGTCAATATCTAGCACTAGATCACCTCTCGCAACCATGTTGATATTAGCTAATGAATTCAATGAAATAACGGATATTGATTGGTCTTTACCATATTCCAAATTCCGTAACACAATACTGAATAATATACTGAATATATCTTCGTGAAAATTAAATCTACCTAAATCTGTACCCCAACAGTTCTTATAGTAGGTACGTAATAAAAATATATTTCTTTTTTTAAGTTGAATTTACATTGTATATATTGTTAATAATAGGAATCCATGTAATAAAACTTAACAAGTTTGTATGGATCAAATAAATAAATAAATATTTGACACTATAAACTATGACGTACTAATATCAATTTTTGCATCATATAGGAATATCTGCAGATAGTGTTGAATTCTTCAGTAGTGACAAAGTAGCAGCCAATAAATGGAATTTTCTAGAATTGCAGTCGGGAGTGCCACAAGGTTCCATCCTAGGTCCACTACTTTTTTCTATTTATACCAGCCAGTTCGTTATCTCCCTTGGACATTGTTCTTCACATCTATACGCAGACGACACACATATCTATATCTCTTACAAACCTGAAGACGTTGATAATGCTTGTACAGAAATTAATAAAGACATCAATAATTTTGTTGAAACTGCAACTGAACATTGTCTAGTTAACAACCCAAAAAAGTCAAATGTTTTGATATTTGGGCCAAAAAATCTCGGGGAGAAGATTGAAGACAAAATAAAAATACTTGACAAGGACCTGCCCATTGTAAATCTAGCGAAAAGTCTGGGACTTATTCTCGAAAGTAATTTAAAATTCGAAACACACGTGAAAAAACTCATTCAGAAGGCTTATGGAACTCTTAAGATTATTTATGGAAATAGAAATTTTCTTACAAAAGCAACAAAAATAGTGTTATGTGATAGTTTAGTTTTGTCCACCCTGAATTTTGCTGATTCAGTGTAGGGTCCCTGCTTAACGAAAGCATATGAGCAAAAAATCCAAAAGATTCAGAATTCATGTTTACGTCTCATTCACAACAAATATTTCAGCACAAGGTTTTTCTTGCTTCAAGAATAATACACAGTTAAAAACAACATGTCTTCCAGTTTACTAAAAAAAAGAACAATTTAAAATTTGAAATACGGTATGTGAATTGAATGAATCTGGACAATACATTTCTTTGAGTAGCAATCTTCTTGAAGTAAAAAAGGAAAATACAAAAAAGGGTTTCTATAAAAAAGAACTTGTTAAAAACAATCGGTATACATATGACTATTCACATAACTTCATAAATTTTACATATTGTTGAAACTTGTTTTATACTTTTTTCCGCACAAATTTACCTTTTCCATGATACGAATATTTTTTCCAGAGCTGTTTACTGGTATTTTATTGCTCAATTAACCGATTTCAGTTTAAAATCTTTTTTCGTTTTACCAGCTGTTAGCCTCTTACGATCGGCAACATCTGTTTTGAGAGAGCCTTTCCTTCGAGTTTGTGTCTGAAAAATACTTCTTTGCATGATCTACACATCTTTGTGAAGAGCTTATTTTTAAACTAATTGCTCTCTTCCTTTTTTTTTGGAAGGTTTCCATTTTTTTTTTGTATTGAGATGGAGAACTAGAAAACCAAAAATCAATTTCTGCTAAAAATATACTCCTGTCAATTTAAACAAAATTCTATGGTTGGGATCAAATTCAATGAGAAATTATGTCATTACACACTGTCATCAATGACATGAGTAGATTTAACGCATTCGTCACATGAAGTCATAATTTTATGAATGGAGTGCTTCTTCACATCCAGGCTGGTGCTGAAGAGGCAATAAGGCATCTGAAACATCGGATGTCCGCCATCGAGGATGAATAGTCCTTGTAAGTGAAATTCCACCTCTTTCATATACTATACTGTGTAGCAATCCTGTGTATGATATCTGATTCAATTCCACAACGAATGTTTGGAGTACAAACTGAATAGTGTTTTTTTGTATATTCAATATTCATATAAGAGTAGTTGTTTCGAAGGTATACTTTCTGTCATGTAATTCAATGTTTATATGAAAGTAGTTGTTTCGAGAGGGCTTTTTCTTCCAGTTTGTGTCTTCTGAAAGTTACTTCTTTGCATGATCTTTCTTCCTTTTTTTTTTTATCTGAAATGTTGAATGTCTGAATTTTCTGAAGAATTGAAGAAATTTTTATCAGCATGGTAAAATTAGCTTAGTAGTAGTTTCAACTTCCTTGAATTTATAGAATGTAAGTGGGTTTACTCTTGATAAATATATAACCTAATTTCTAGCGAGTTCTGATGACTCCGCACTTCAATGACTTCTCCTCTTCAAAAGTAGATGATAGCTTGAAAAACGATATATCTAAAATTTCAGAGTCGCCAACGAAAATGTAAGAAAAACAATGAAGGACAAAACAGCAGAAAGCACTGCAATGAATGCAGCGTAACAGCAGTCAGACGAGTGTTGCAGTTTTGTAAACTGTTTATTGAAAATCATTATTGTTATCAAATACAATAAAATAAAAGGAAATAATATGCTAGGCTCCTGGTATTTTGTTATATAATCTCTATATAGAAAGTGAAATAAATTTTAGTAACACAGGAATATATACACAAAGTTTTATCAGAACAGTCAAATTCCGAAAATATATAAGGTTACACCTTGTCAAATGCAGAAATACATGTATCTGAAAGTTTAAATGAATTCCATTGCACATAATTATTCTTTCAATAAAATAAATAAATAAATAAAATTTTAAAATTCATCCCTACTGTAGTCCAACAACTGTTTGGAAGCTTCGAAGGGTGAATAAACGCCTTGGAGTGAGCCAATCCTGGAAGATTCTACCAGAAGTCTATAACTCTTCTTGCCATCCAGGTGTTGAGTGTTTGTTTGGCAAAGCCCGAAGCGATGCCAATGACAGGTTCTGGTCCAATGAAGCCGCTTGCAACACCCTCCTCTGCAAGAGAGTCAGCAGCTTCATTGCCTTCCAGGCCAGTATGGCCAGGAATCCAGACCAGAGACAATCTGTTTAGTCTTCCTATCGCGGAGAGTCTTTTTTGGCAGTTTGCTACCAATTTAGACGTTGCTCAGTAGGAGCCAAGAGCTTCCAACGCCACTTGACTGTCCGAGAATATTTTTATTGACTTGTGAGTGAGGTTGGATTTATCCAATCTCTCCGCACACAATTCAATAGCGTAAATGTCCGCTTGAAATACAGTCGCATAAGTTCCTAGGCAGGTAGATAACTCTGTCCTGGGTCTGCGACTGAAAACACCTGCACCAGAACCGGAAGGTGTTTTTGAACCATCTGTGAACCAACAACTATCTACTCTTAATATTTCCTGTGTTTTTAAAGAAATATTAAATGTATCTATTTTATTATGAAAACAGGACAGTTTTACAAAAAACTTTGGATAATATTTGTGTTAATAGTAAGTTTTATTTTGTTCGTGAAATTGCTCAACTCGCCATGCTCGTTTCGCAATTTCACTCCTAAAATGAAACCTTTCTTTCAACCCTCATATCATAAATAGCTATTTGTATAAAAAAATAAAAAATATTTTATATACCTACCGGTTCGAATACTACACAGTCGGCAGAGTAAGAAGCTCCAGCAACAACTCCGGCACCTCCAACTAATCCAGAAGCCAAATTATCTACAATATTACCATAAAGATTTGGAGTTACCATAACATCAAATTGTTGAGGTTTGGATACCATTTGCATAGTGCAATTGTCAACAATCATTTTTTCGAATTCAATTTTTGGGTAGAGTTTAGCCATCTGAAAAAGTTTGTTAGATCAGAATTATTTATAACAAACTCAGATACTAATGTTTTCTTTTCAATACAATCCATGTACTCAAAACTGTTGCATGAAAATATTAATATTAATTGAAAATAGTTCAGATGAACTTGACAGTAAATAAGATCATACAACTATATCAACTGATAAAAAACAGTCTCTTTTGTATTTTAACAATGGATTTTCTGTTTACTACATTGTGTTATTAACGCTGATAGAACAAAGTATGATCACATTGCCAAGTTGTACCCAAAGAAAAATCGAGGTGTCAAATCTCAATTGAATAAAATTAGGTTTTGTAACTACATGGATTGAAATTTCATTTGGAATGTGTATCTGACATTATCTTTGGTTATCATTTTATATAGTACCTATAAAATATATCATTTGTTTCTTTCTATGCTATTTCTAGATGACAATAAAGTTAAGACACTATTATATCTTATATCTCTACATAATGAAATTATTTCTTGTAATTCTGAGGAAGAGAGAAAATAGTAAGAAGAATGTGTGACAAGTTTTGATGTAATGAGAAAAAGATCAAAACCAGCTGCATTTTACGTATTGTATGGTTGGTGAAATTTGGCTCCAAATTTTTCAAAACTGAAGGTCAAAAATTCTGGAAACAATATGTTTGGGCATCCAAAGATGCTATCTTATAGCAAAACAAGTGTCGCGGTTTTGTAAACTTTCAAGTGGAAATCTCACATTAAAGTGTGTTTTTTTAAAATCTAATTTCCAAGATTTTTACTTTGCCTTCTTTAGAGTATGTGAGCATCAAGAAATCCTATGACAACAATGTAATTTCATGTTTCAAATTCAAGACCACAAAAAAATCCTGTACTTATGTCAAATGCAAGTTGTGTCCAAGCATTCTTTTAGCCTGTGTCAAGCAGGAGTTATCCGCCAGATCCATCCAGATTTATATTTGTTTTAATAATTTTTGTGATGTAGGTATATAAAAGAAGTAATAAAAAAATGTTTAATTTTTGAGTACATTTTTGATATACCTTTTATATTTAATATTACACATAACTATTTCGGTTGTGGAACTCTGTCTAGTGTCATATGTCAATAATTTCAAATATTCAGGAAAGATCAATTATCAAATATTTCTGCCAATCTGAAAACTGCATAACCACAATATTTGTAAGAACTCTAGAATTGGATCCCTTGAATTGAGTCTTCCCCACCAAAAGTTATTTGCTATCTCTGATGGAGATTATGCTTACACTTCTGGCAATAATAACTTCTGGTCTACGCAAAAAGAAAAGTTGAGATTGCAGTACAATTTGTTTAAACATTTTGGTACTTTTGGAATTAATGTCGTGGCAGCACTGATCAGATCTATATTTATAGTAAAAAATGAATTACTCACCTCCTCACAGCTTCTCAAAAATAGTCCATCGCCGAGCTTCATAATATTAGCTTTATGAACGGCTGTAACTTTCTTCCTGTTATTTTTTGTTGCATAGTCAAAGGCGAATTTAGCGATTCTTTGAGATTTCTTTGCCGTCACAATTTTCAAACACTCGACGACACCCTTAACACCTTCATGTTCCAGTGCAGAATATTCTCCTTCCGTCTGTTCACGAATGATGACACAATCAATGTTGCTGTGCCGGCACTTAATGCCCGGCAAAGATTTGACGTGAACAACGTTGGCATACAAATCTAGAGCGGTTCTCAATTTCATATTGAGAGTTTGTAGTTCTCCGGTATGACTGTAGTCAGGCGAAGTTAGGATCCCCTTGAGGCATACTCTGTTCTTGGAAATTGATTTGGCGACTACTTCTAATGGTGAGCTAAGGGTGGGATTCACCTCGGAGAAGAAGTGAGTGTCAAAATCCACTGGGACTCCCGCCGCCTTGAATACTTCCTGCACAGAATAAACGAGTTCGGGCCCAACTCCATCACCAGGTATCAAAGTACAGCTTGTTCTTGCATCGGGGCGGTCAGGGATTCCCGTCTGAAAAAAGTTCTGAATAGTAGGTCTGATAAAAGAGAGGTGTCATCTCTACTCTAACTGAACAGGCTCTAAGAATATGTGAACCAGAGCATTCTAGAAGAAGAACTGAAACATCTTCAAGTGACCTTGAGATCAAATGGTTACCGTGTACCGGAGATCAAAAAGGCATGAAACGGTTCCACGGTTCAAAACAGGAAGGAGGCTCAGATGGTTGTACGTGAGTATCTACCATATATGCCTAGGGTCACAGACAGAATTGGAAAACTTGTGGGAAAACACAACATTTAAACGGTTTTCAAACCCACCATGGTAGTTAGAACAAAGCCTCAGGTTGCCTAAAGATGAAAGAGACCCACTAACTTGAGATCAAATGGTTACCGTGTACCGGAGATCAAAAAGGCATGAAACGGTTCCACGGTTCAAAACAGGAAGGAGGCTCAGATGGTTGTACGTGCGTATCTACCATATATGCCTAGGGTCACAGACAGAATTGGAAAACTTGTGGGAAAACACAACATTTAAACGGTTTTCAAACCCACCATGGTAGTTAGAACAAAGCCTCAGGTTGCCTAAAGATGAAAGAGACCCACTACCAACAGCAGGTGTATATCACATACCATGCACTTATGGGAAGGTATACATCAAAACCACCAAAAGATCCATGAGAACAAGGCTGAAAGAGAACGAAAGAAACTGCAGACTAGGCTAAACGGTCAAACGGCTGTGGCAGAACACGTACTCAGTGAAGGAAACCATAGGATATTTGAAAACACGAAAATCATTGCCCCTAAACAGGGATACTATGGCCAACTGGTGCAGGAGACAATAGAGATCCACAAACATTTGAATAATTTCACAGAAAAGAAGCTGTGATCCTCAACCAAATATGGAATACCTTTCTAAGAAGTTTGAGAGTAACAAAAATCATGAGGCAGGTAAAAAAGGATCAACGAATGTTTCTGGCAATTTACCTAATCCAGGTACAGTAATTAGCACACCAAACTACCTGAATTAACATAAGTATGCTTTATGCAGTCGGAATACCCAGTCGTCAGAGATGAATATTACTGGAGTTTTTTCCCAACACCAAATCGTAATTTTTACATCTCGACACGTGTTTCGATCACCAAGTGATCATCTTCAAGAGGAGGAAGATAAAACTGTTTTATCTTCCTCTTGAGGAAGGAAGAGGAGGAAGATAAAACTGTTTTATCTTCCTCTTGAAGATGATCACTTGGTGATCGAAACACGTGTCGAGGTGTAAAAATAACGATTAGGTGTTGGGAAAAGACTCCAGTAATATTCATTACTACACCAAAGGTTCCAAACAGTACATCATAAGATCAGAGATGAACTCAAGTTTTATGAACCTCTAAAGAAGCTAGCCACTAGCGCTAGCAAAACGTCAGGAATACATTACAAAAATTGATGGTCTTCAAACTCATAAAAATAGTCACACTGGAAACCTCGTCCGCGAAAGCCTTAACCATTTTGTCGGTCCTCATTACTAATATCATTTAAATCATGATATTTAGATTAACAAACATTGCAGTACTCAGCCTATTAAACATTCCATACCCTCTGTACATCTATAACACTTATCAGTCATTTAATTTATAATTAACAAAATACTCACCTCCACACCTGCATTGCATACACTACTATGTATGCTGCGACTAGCTGATCCTTGCACAGCCTGAAAATTAAAGATTCATTTATAACAATATTTTTTAATCATAAATTCAAATTGTTGAAACTTTGGGTATAGATCTACAATTAGAAGAAACAGGATGAATGAATAGCAATAAATAACGACCCACTCCTGAAAACATCCCCTGATCTAAAATTTCAAAAAAAAGATTTCCAAGCTAAATTGGATCAAACTAAGAATATCAACGATAAATGTTATAGACACACTGAAACAAATCGTACAAAAAACAAAAACAAGAGGTGATATTCGAGGAGAAACAAAGAGGAGTTCAACATGAACCGAGGAGAAGACCCCATACTCCCAACACACATATTTGTTTTCCTTAGTACACAAGAAGTGTACTAAGGAAAACAAATATGAACACAAAAAATATATTTCTAGGTAACACTCAAATAACTGCATATTCAGACAATATAGTAATAAAAGAAAAAACAAAAACTAGTGTATTCGAAGCAATTAACGAACTAGAAACTGAATCAAACAAATATGCACTGCATATAAATGGAAGCCAAAGACTAAAAGACAGAAAAAAAGCTCAAACTGGAAAAAAAATAATGCAAACAATTTAAGACCTGATACCTGAAAAAAAGAAGTAGAAACATACCTAGGGTATGAAAATATAGTGGGATTAAACAAAGAGCAACGGTTAGAATGTTTAGGGCACTTTATGATAAGGTCATCAATAAAGATAATTGATAAAGTAACACAAAGGACATCAATCTGTTGAAGAGGTTAAAGAAGATAGAAACTACAATAGTGGGACGACATATAAAAAACGAAAATGAGCACTGAAAATTAAGTAAAGAAAAATAGAATATGGAAACCAAATACTAAATCAGCTAGGATGCAGAGTTGTGGAATTGGCCGTGGTGGTAGTGCGCCCGACTCACGATCGGAAGACCGTGGGTTCGATTCCCGCCTCGACCAGATATTTTTCTCGAGAGAATTTATCTGGTTGAAGCTGGAATGATTCTGCAACCGTGTTAGGAATCACACGTTAAAAGGTAAGATCTCGTTAGTCCTTAGCTCGCACAAGTTTCTCAACTTCTGAGAGTTGTCGTTCGTATGGGGGCGACAGCTGATTAACGGAAAAACAGATTTTAAACAGATTCAAACATATACAAGAGGAGTCATCCTCAGTTATAATCCGAATGCATTGAACGGTGATGATATGTGATATCCACTTCGACTCTTTTATGTATCTTGAATCCCTCAGTGACAAAAATATATGCCCTCAGTACTGGACATAAAATGAACAAAATTAATGAATCAACTGTAACTTCGCTTATTTTTATCTGACACAAAACACTCTCACTTTTAGTCATACATCAATGATTTTTGAGTGCAGAATAGCAGGAAATTTTTCGTAAAAGTTTTCACCAAATTCAACAGAGTGCTTTGGCATGGAATTTTGTCAGTGTTCATAGTTGTCTTGCAATACTTTGCTATCTCCATCTCAACAATTTTAAGCAATGCTATTTAGTGTCGGTCAACACGCCTTGAAGAATGTATATAGAATAAACGAACATTTTAGAACTTTGAATGCTTTTTTTAATCTGAAAATAATAAAGTGTGGCATGAACAGTGACAAAGGTTTCATTTCAAGTAGCCTATTGTTTACTTTTACATGAATCACTCTCTTGAAGCTAGCGGGAACTTTCAAGATAAACTTTTAGCTATTGTTGGGTATTATTAACGAAGGACTGGCTGCTCATCGTTTTGAGGTTCAACTCAGTACACCTCGAACTTCACAGTTTAAGAACTCTTTCATTTGGAGAACTGCGTTTATGTGGAATAAACTTCCTGAGAACGTTTTTCCAAATGAATTTAATCTCCAGTGATTAAAATTCAACGTGAATCACTACTTTCGCACAGGCACCGCTCTTAGAGGACTTTCCTGTAGTGCTTCTGTTTTGTCCTTAAAAAAATTAAGTTTCAAACAACTTTATTTAAATTCATTGAATTCAATATCAGAAGAAGAAAATCCTAAAAATATCTTTGACACTGTATAATTCAATATCTGTAGGGGAAATAGTTTACTTACTAGACAATATGTCAACAATATAAAAACAGAAACAATGATACATTTTTTTTGTAAGTAACAGAAACCTACAAAATGCCTTACAGAAAAATCTTGATGTCTTCTTTTGAACAAAAAAAAGAATGAGCATATACACTCCAAAAAATGATACCATACCTTAGAAGAGATTCTACCATTGAATGATGAACACTTTTTGCCTCTCAGATTATGCCAGAGGAGAGTTTTTTGTTGAGTGAAAGTATGTGATCCTCAAATTTCAACTTATTATCAAGTATCATTTCAAGAAATTTGTTGTATCATGTCCTGTTTATAACATTTACAAATATAAGACAAAACCTTAATCTTTGAAAAAAAAAAACAGAGGAACTTTCAATACTTGGTATAATCTGATATTAACTAATTTGCAATGCGACGTTTCGTTCATTAGATTTCATCATCAACCTAATTTTTTAAATACGGACCTTTTCTTTTTTTTTTTTTTGATTTTTGTAGCCTCTGTAATAAAAAATTTAGCTATGTATTACAATACACATTTACCGACGATTGTCTCCAAAAAATATCATCAATATTTGTGCAGTCTCAAAAAGGTAGAAACCAATATCTTAGAACTCAACTCCACACATCTTTTGAAAATTTACGAATAGAGGTGAACACCCATGCATTCTAGCGGTTTTGTATCAATTTTTTTGGAACATAAATGTTTGTTTCTGATGATTTCTGGCAAATAAAAATAGTGGCGAATAAATTTATTAGAGTACTGAAATGATGTGATTTGTTCAACGTGAGCCATCAATTAACAGAATATGTATGATTGACAAATATACTGTCAAGTATGTAAATATCATTCGCGTGAATTTGTGAGCAGAAAACCATGAATACTTCTAATGACGAGAAAGTTAATATGATTTTCGTAAATGCGAGATGTTTGAGAAATGCTAGAGCGCATTTTCACTAGGGCAGATATCCTTGTTCACTTACACTCAGGTTTATCCTTTAAGGACAGTTGAGTTCAGTGATGCATGCGTGGTTCAGCCTAGTACTACTGATGAAACCAATAGCTGGTCGAAACACCGCTGATGTGCTGTATCACGAATGCTTTGTTTTTAGACCTTGATTTCAACTATTTGCCTTAAAGTGCATTCTTAAGCGAAAAATGGTATATATAAGAAAAAGCAGTCAGATGTGTAAAAATAATATTTCACAGAGAAGCAAATGTTATATCACCACTATAACCTTACTTTCACATTCAGGTTAAAAATGAAAACTCACTTGAACCAACAGCCTAGAAACATTTCTCACAACCAGAGACATTATTGAATATTGAATATTTCGAATATCACATGTACTTTTTTATTTTTCTCGCGTTTTAAATTCAAATCCTATAATTATGTCAACTTAATCGACTGTCAAATAATTAGTGATCAAATCCTCTGCAGTACAGTTTGCGGTTAAATGAAATGTTAGACTACATCTTTTTTTTCTCGTGACTTGTGACGTGCGACGTGAGTGATGACACTGGCGACTGGTGAGAGTGATAAAATGGCACAAAAGTCCAGCTTGGCTGAATAAGTATGTCACGACAGTCGGAGCTGACTTCCGTGCATCAGACATATATTTTAATTGACACAAGACGGTTGTGTCAATTTTCAAGTGTGCTATTTGATGAGTCAATCATTAGTTTATTCTCGAAGTTAGAACTGCACTTGCACGTAATAGGCAGTATTTTACTAAACAAAATGAAGACATTTCGTGTTCTGTGATAACATTTCACAAATGTTCATTCATAGTTTGAGTACACCGTAACTGATGTATTTGATCGAACCTTAGATTGAATAAATGTCAAGTATTTTTATATCGTATTTTCCATTTCACAATCTATTCGACGCGTAGCCCATTGTAATATAAAATATCTCCCCTCTTTTCAATTTCCAGCGGTGAGATTTCGTAATTTACAGTACAGACCACAAACTACTTACTCTCGTGGTTTGTGGTACAGACACAGTTTTCTTATATAAGATTAGTTTTCAGTGTTCTGTGATTTATAGTAGGACACCCTGCAAAGTGAGGGGACAACCGAACCAATCACAGATCACAACACGTGTGATTTATAATGTTTATTCTGCAATATAACAAACGTCAAGAGGTTATTCAAAAAATATTTCTTTGTTGTTAAACTTAATCTATGTTATAGTGTTTACTTTTACTGTATGTGTGAAGGCTAGTTTGAAGTGAAGAAAATGTCTGATTATTCTTCGGACAATGATGATGATTGTGGTCTTCTCAAGAAAGCAATAGATGTAAAATTACCTGAAAATTTCGATCCAAATTCTATTCCTCAAGATGGTAACTTATTTTATTATATTTTTGTAATGTCCGTACTTCTTTTTGTTAACACTGCTGTAATTGGTTATAAAAATTAATATAAATGATAAATTTTAGGTTTTGAATATCTTCATCATGTAATATATGAAAGAAATAACTGTGAGGAATGGGTAGCTTCCAATATAGATACCAGCAAATTCAAAAGCAACCAAACCTATCAAATATCGTTGGTAAGAAAGATTTTTTTACATCAGATTTACATATTTTCTGCCTGTAGTGGATTTCCCGGAAAAATAGTTTTCAAATTCCCCAGTTATTCATGCAATAGATGGTTTCCTAAATATAGTATATATGTGTTATAAAGTATGAATTACTATAAATAAAATGATGCAATCATATTATTACATCTGAAACCGAAAAATATTTTAAGTCTGTTCATGTTTTTTACATGTAATTTTCAAAATTTTGAATAATGTAAAAATAACGAATTTGGTCACTTCAACTTGAGCAGTTTATTTCTAAAGGGAGAAGAAAGGAGAAAATTTGTAAACTATCTTCAAGAATTAAAAATATTAGCTACAACTTGTCCTGTGTGGGTTCAATATTCTGAAAAATGAGACCACAGAGCCACAACATTCATTTTCTCCATGACAGTCAAAAATATTTCAGTTTCAAAGTGAGGGTTGAGTCACACTCTTACCTATTGAAAGATTGCATCACCACACATTTTTTTTCAACTAACATTGAGAAGCTGTACTTGAATGACCTCATCGATATAAGTAACATTTTACTATGTTTGCAGATAATACTGCTTTGTTATGGCATGTGTAAATTATAGGTTCTCGAATGTTTATAAGTGTTATTTTTATGTTGAGTTAACCTTATAAGTTCTTTTCGTAAGGTCTATACCTTATTTTATTCATATTATTCATTAAATTTTATTGTCCTTTATTTTCAGGAGTCCACAGGTAAAAGTATCCCAGAAAGGTTCATACCTTCAAAAGAATGGCAAATTCGTAAACTAGATGATTTCAAATCGTTTAAAAATTTTGTGGATAAACAAAAGCTACCTGAACCATCTTTATATGTTGGCAAATTTAGTGAGGAAGATTTCAAAAAGAAGCTTCAGACCGAAACTCCAGTTTTTTCAGAATTTGTTCAATACTCTCAAGCTGTAAAAATAAGAATGTTGGAAATAATTTCGAAGTACTTGAATTCTTTGGATCGAGGTAGAAGTATAGAAGACAACATTGGGACATGGATTTTTGCTATTTTAGTGATGTTGGAAATTCCGTTGAGTCCAAGTTGTTGTTATGTTATAAGGAAATTCACAAGAAGTTGCTTGGATATTCGAGCAGAACTTCCAGATGATGCTGATGAAAAGTTGTTGAATCCTCTAAATTTCAGTATATGTATTTGTAGTAGGTACTTTCGCCAATTAGATCTATCCGACTGATCCAATATTTTTTGTTGAGTCAAAAATATATAAATTTTAATACACTCATTAAAACTATTTTTTCATCAAATCCTTCATTTCAAGTAGCATATACCATTAAAACGGAAAAAATATTAGAGCTTATGGAAAGACTTTCATACTTTACTGTCTAGAGTCAAATGAAAATGTCAAATTCATGTATTTTACAATGTAACCAACTAGTGTAAGTATTCAATTTTTGATTTTGAGTTTGCTGAAAAAAAATTTACCTTTCAAATAAAAACATGGATATTTTGGTAATTACATAATATATTGTTTTCAAAATTATTTAATAACTCTATGCACATCGAGCTCCACTTATTTACAGTCTCTCTGCCTTGAATTTGCAAGTAAGCAATGATGAAGTGTCAATGAATCTGATGTTTGGAGTAGGTTATCATTTAGAAAAATGTCTCATTTTTCAAACTCAATGTTGATTTTATGTAACTTCTCTACATTATATATTTCACCTCCATTGTTTGCTTCTTTATATATTAAAATTGATGAATGCCTAACGATTTTTTTTATATTCGAAAAAAAGGGGGAAGGAAATCATCACAACCAAGAAATAATTTTTTTAATCAGTGGACGGGGTGTAATGAATATTTTCTACAAAATGAACAGGCTTCCTAAAAGATCTGAAAATCACAATTAATTAGGACAGAAAACTTTTAGTTTTCAACTTCTCCATCTTTATACAAAAAAATGTGGGAAAGTTCCAAAGGGAAGAAGGCAATTAATCCAAAAAAAAAACTCTATCTGTATTATCAACATTTCTTGTGTTTAAAATATATTAAACCTTGCATTAGAATAGCATATGCTAAGGTATTATTGAGTATAATGTATGGAGGGATGCCAGAAGTTTTTGGAATTCGATTCAGAATAAGAGTTCATTCTGAAATTATTTGCTTTTTTCCTTTGGAAGTCTCCCACATTTTCTATCTAAAGAAAATGAAATGAAAGCCAATATATTTCTTTCCCAAAAATCAATCTGTACTAAAATGGCACAAGCTTTTGTAAAAAAATTAACATATCAATGAATGAAACTCTTGGCCAGTAATTGAAACTACAATTTGACTTGCAGTTAAAAATCAAATCCTAAGATTGTAAGTTGAAGGAATTGAATGATCAATTTTTCTTATTACTTGAAACTTCAATACTTGATGTATTACTTGACAAAGCCATCTTCAAACATTTTCACTGAATACTTTCACTGATACTTCTGCACTGCAACTGACCTATCACATTCCCCTTCTTTTTTTTGGCTTATATTTTTCCCAATGCCGATGATTAACACTAGCAAAGTCATCACAGTTCTCTGCAAGGTCTTTTAAGTAACGGGAAAGAAGTAGAAGTTGTTTATCATTCTCACGATTCAAATGGGCCTCCCGGAATGGTTTAATTCGTAAACCGTTTTTTGGATTCATAATGAAATTTCTTCGAATGTCATCAAACATGATGGTATTTTTTGAAGAAAACTGTTTGAACTTTCCCCAAATGACACCAAGGGGTTTAACCTAAAAAAAAAAGACAATACTTATAGAAACTTCTATACTTTTTACATTTTTGTATTTGTACATATTGTTCGAATAAAATAATAATTACAATTGGATTGGATGTTGGATATGATTTCAATAGATTGATCCCAACTGCCTTATTCTTCAATCAATTGAATGGATTAGGTAGAATTTAATAGTTTTTGGAGAGGTCAAAAAATTTAACCTCAAGACATCTTGTTGCTTGCATATTAAAATATATAATAGTCACAAAATTGAAACCAATAATTAAAAACACAAATTAATTATGACATTTTGTAACATAACATAAAACAACAACACAAGTTTCTTCATTTGAAATAAAGGTAGTATACTTGGATGCTTTGTTCACTCAATTGACCGCCGTGTTGGTCGATGGTTCAAATTGCTAAAAGATTGAATTTCACTTGCTATCGTCCAATCCGTGTTAGGAATCACACGTGAAAACGTAAGACCTCGTTAGTCTTTAGGTCGTACAAGTTTCGACTTCTAAGGGTTGTCGTTTGTAGGGGTGTAGCGGCTGGTTAACGGAAAAACATTTTAATGAGCAACTTTCTAATTTAACCGACTTGTATCTTTAAATACAGTTTATGATTTTCCCACGCTTCCCGCCCTATCTTGAACACATCGTTTATAATTAACATATTTTGAACTATATCACACCACTATCTGTAGAGTAGGGGGGGGTGAGTGTAAGCCCACGCACTTAGGCCACATGTGACCCATTGTACATCCTCCCGAGGAGTTGTCCTCCTAGGTCATCGTCCATCCTGTCCTTTCCAGGAAGGTGGACAGGTCGCTGGGAGACATCTCCTTTATATCGCCAGGTGTAGGCCTCGCCGAACACACACTCTCTTATTGACGATAACTCTGGGCACTCGCACAGGACATGCCTGACAGTCTCATCATCCTATTCACACATCCTGCATAGATGTGTGTCCACTAGCCCCATATTATGGAGGTGTTTCCTTAGTTGACAGTGGCCAGTCAGAAATCCTACTGTAAGGCGTAGATTTTTCCTGGCCAGATATTTCTTCGGCGCTAGCTTCCCAGGGTCGCCCAAGGTGATCCTGGCAAGATAACATCCTTTGATTCCATCCCATCTCTTTAAGGATTGAGTATGGGTGTAACATTTGACTAGTTTTGCAATTGTCGAAGTCATCAGGCCGTGGATGCCACTGGGTCCTAAAATTCTTAGTCCAGCCGCTTCCTTGGCTAAAGAGTCGGCAATGCGATCACCTTTACTCCTGTCGTGCCCTTTAACCCACCTCAGGATAATGTTATTATCTACCGAGGCTTTGGCTAAATCTTGGTGGCACTCTAGTACTAGCCCTGAGTACACACCACTAATTACAAAGACAAATAATGTCACAGGGATGTAATCACAATTAATTTCATTTATAATATTGATTAGTCCCTACTATTCATCAGTTCAGGGACTTGATGTAATTAGTATAATTTATTATGAAATACCAAGGACAAAAGGAACAGTTCGACGAAATTAATCAATTGAAACCTGTTGAATGAAAGGAGCAAGCATATTTTGCAAATCTTTGAAAGGCAAACTCGATATCACCTGCAAAGTTACTCACTTCTATCACTCCATATTTTGGAGTGTGCACAGAAATCATTGCGACACAATCTAAATAAAAGGCTATTTTATAGTTTGGATTTGAGGAAACCCCTAGTAATTTCATTTTCTCCTCAATCCATTTCATTCCTGTAGCTGACCATATGACTATATCATAATCCTCATAAGCTTTAGTAAGGAACTCATGTAAATATGGCCTCATCAATTCAGCTCCTGTTTGAGCAGTGGATCTGTGGTCGAATAATGTATAGTCAATATCCAATACTAATAGTTTTTTATCTGGACGGAGATCATTCAACATATTTATCTTGTGATGATTAACTCGATTTTCCACTTTAGCTAAATAAACTTCTTGATTTTCTATAGCCACTTCCTCATCTTCGATATCAAGATCATTTACAACATCTGGCAAATTAGTGGGTGCAGTATTCGCTTCAACTATGTCTTCCTCTAGAGATCCCATCATCATCAATTTGAAATTAGATTTCAGTTTCAACTGACCAAGCTTACATTCATCACCGGGCATCTTTCCTGAAATCAAAAAACACTAACATTAACACTATTAATGAAAAGTTGAAATATTGCTTTTCCACATTTAGAAATTCATTCATCATGAATAAATTAACATTACACTAAGAGTTGGTCAACTTATGTTATGTCAATGTTAATGCTAATTTTTCAACCGTTTGCACATTCTTCTGTGCATATATCAATACATATTTTTCCATAATAATTAAAGAATTTTCACAGTAAATGAAGATGAGATGAATGACGTTGAAGTTTTCTTCATCTCATCTTCATTTTGAAGACAGGTAGCCAGATTAATTGTACACAAACAAGGTCAAGTAATCCAATTAAGTGCCCCAATCTATATGACAAAAACAACAAACTTTATGACAAAAAAACCAGAAATAACTCCTGGGAGATTATCTTATCAATTATAGAAATTGAGAGCATGCATTCACATGATTGTACAAGTTTTTTCTATTTTGTGGATCTCAGCGTCAGAATGTGAACAAAGGTGGCTTAATCTCCATAATTGTTGTGCAACTCTTAGAAAATATAAACAAATGCCTCTAGATCAGAAGCATCATATATGACTTGGATTTTTTCAAAAATTTTATGTTCCTGAACCCTTTTATAGCCGGGAGATGGCAAACACGTTTGATTTATTCAGAACAAGAAAACATTTTCAAATAAAAAAATAATTCCACCACCAATACAAGTAATGTTTTTCGACTCTTTTAGTGAAATTATAGGACTCGAAGCTGAGAACTCTCAAACAAGTGTGCTGCCAGAAACAGTATAGAAATTTTGAATCAGCACATAGTTCCAAAAAATATGTCGCCGATCCATAAAAAAATCCCGAATGAATTGAAAAAAAAAGTAGAACTGGAAACAGTTCAGCAAAATACACTACAAAGTTTCAACTCACACATACGAAAAAAACAAGGGTGCAAACGCAGAGAAAAATACTGATGTTTGGATCAGATTTAGACCCAGTGAGAAGTGAATTCTGAAATGTAAGGTTTCTCAAATATTGAATTGAGAATAAATAACTCATTTCCACACAAATGTGGATGTGTTTATTTTGACTTCAAATCTAATTTGTATTGAGTTTTATTCATACAATTTTTTTTAATTTTTATTATACTAAATTCCTTCCTTCCTTTTTTATTGGCCGCTGCTTCCTATTCAGGCGCAATTGGGTCCAGCTCAATACCTGGAGTTGTCTTTATCTGAGCTAAGCCCATGAACCACCCATTAAATTAGTTCAGTTCTTCTATTCAATTTGTCCACTTCTTAGTATTGTGCGCATTTTTCTTCATGTGCTTTAAAGGTTATTAGGTTGACAAAAAAACACAAGTTTCACTACTTGTTCAGGAGTCAAGGGAGGTCACGGAAAATTGAATCTGAACAATAAATCGCCGAGCTAGGCAGACATCACTCACTATTAGCTTCACATTAATATACAAGTCATGCATTAAGATTTGAGTCACTGTCAATTGACGCTTGAGGTCGAAAGATAACATGAATGAAGTTATAGCAGTAAGGTTTTGTAGGTTTGCAGATAGTGTTATGCGGCACGTGAAAAATATATGTCATAAATCCTGTCTGAGGCTTTAGTCACAACTATCGTGGTCTTTAATTTTTACTTGTAATGAAGAAATACTGGAGATGTGCCATGGACAAACCATGATGGCTTCTCACTCTATTCACAGTAGTTATCATTCCTCAAGAAAATGATTCATAATCATAACATAAGAGTTTTTGCAGGTATAGTTGTAAAATTAGTCAGACACTTTGTACTGTCCAATTTCATTATGCTCTGAAGTTCCTTCTTGAGACAAGGATATAAGACCATATTCACGTGAAAATAGTTGTATATATTATGTCAGTTCATTTATTCTTCTGGGTTTGTACACGATTTTATAAATATATTCTTCAAGCTTCAGATGGCGTCTGTAAAGTCTCTTACTTGAGTCTTCAATTGAAAACAACCAAGTGAGTGGTCCGTGAGTTTTATCTGAAGAAGCTTAGAGGTTGAATTTGAATAGTATTCGGAATTTCGTTTTTTACATTTCTGCGGCTGATATTTCGTGATTTATTATGACTTGATGTTACTTATTTTGGAAAGTCATATCATCAATTGTTTGTTTTGAAAACGACATCGCGATGGTTCTGTTGAAAAAAAGTCGAAAGTTCATCAAATTTCATCACAGCCCTGTTTACCCAAATTTCGCAAAAAAAATTGAAAATGAAATGGCTCTCACAAATGGCATGTTATACATGTCATTTTTATCTACATTGGCTTCTGATATGGAGGCCTGGATAAAATTATTTCAACGTTTTTGAATATATTGCCTGGAAACTATCGAAAGTCGAAACTTGTGCAAGCTAAGGACTAACGAGATCTTATCTTTCAACGTGCGATACTTAGAACGGGTTGGATGATAAGCAGTGAAAGAGATTGTTCTGGTGTGACCGAATAGCTGGGGTTTTTGGTTCCTTCTTTCTTTGAAGAATCGGGATCCAACACACTAATGGTTAAGCTGCCCGTTTTTCATGTTGACGAATCATATCGACTGCCCCAATTTTGTATATTTCACTTTCAAAAATTACTTTTTGAAAAACTTATTTTCAATAAAATTCGTCACTATAATTATTCCTGAAAAAAAATCCATCACATACATCCATAACGTATTCAAGTGATGCTTTATTGAGTTTTCCACTGACCAGATTACAAAACTGCAACACATTTTTCACTACATAATTACTTCCTCAGACGTGTTCATACAGTATGAAGACTGAGGAAACAATGAAATAGTGAAAAGTGTTGCGATTTTGTACAGTTCAGTAAAAATTTCACAGTAAATTTGACCTGTAACTGGTTTCTTGTAACTTAATACGTTTTGCCAGGCAGGGGCGTCTGTGTGGCGTCCATACACCATGGACGCCACGCAGTAACTGGCACCTGGTATCATCGTAGAACTGCACAGGTGCCGGATATCGATTCAGCTTGATATTGGACAGGTCACATTGGGAATGGATGCTAGAGGTCAGCCTGATAACTTGAGCATCCAAATGTTTTCTTTCATAGTTCAAGCTGTTGCTACTTTGAGGAGATATATAGAGCCTTTATTGAGTTTCATTTTGAATTTTAGCGGAATCGTAACGATTTTCACCTACGTTTTTATTCAAACGAAGTTGAAATGGTTTGTTGCGATTTTGTAGCAACGTAAAGTCTTGTCCTGTGGTATCTTTTCTATTTCAATTTCAAGCAACTTTGATTTCATTGAAAATCTACCCTATCCTCAATACATTTTTTGCAATAAATGATTCATCTCATAGTATTTCGCATTTTGAAATACTGATAATAATATAGCTAATATATTTGTTCCTGGTTAACTGCTGCCTCTAGACTGAAACACAAAAATGAAAGATGCATACCCCATTCCGCTCTGAAAAGAGCTAGAAACAAAACGCACCCAATGTCAGTGATTAAAATTAAGTTGGCTATGGTCATTCGAACGTGTTCGAACGTAATTCAAATATTTTTTAAGGTGGTTAGTTTATTTAAATAGTAATTATTTATGCAGCTTGTCTTGCTCATCATAAAAATAATGGTAAGATTGATTCATGTGCTTTTCAACTAAATATTATCTAATGTTTCTAGGACCATTTAGGAACATCGGAAACATCTGGAGGTGAGTATACAGTTTTCATCAAGACTATGTTAGTTAGCTTGAATGCAAACTATCAATTTTATCCAGTTTTTAGACAAGGTTGTATCGCTTAAGTTGGTCCTGATATAAAAAAATAAACTATTAACGAATTATATCAAGAAAACCTCGAGAGGTGCGGTTTCTAAAATATTTTAGAAGGCTAGTCATTCGTTTTTCTCTTGTACACATTCTAAAGGTTTCTCCTAACTGAAAAAAAAATCGGTCCTCTAACTTGAAAACATGGATTCATAATATTTATATTCATTCTTGAGCACGCATGGCATAAAATATATTTTCAATTTTTTTTCTGAATATTATTTGAGGCGTTACACATATTATTTCTTGTGTTTATGGTTATCACCTTCTGAAATCATGATTTTTTTTAAACGAATCAAATAAATGAAGAGCAAAATTTACTAGATTTGCCCAGAATTGTTACTGCGTTTGAATAAAATTCAGATAGGGATTGATCCAACTTGTCAATAACACTTCATGGTAAAAATCTATATAGTTTGCCCATATCGGAAGATTTTGTAAAAATTGTTTGTTTGTACTCACGTAAAATGATAAGCAGAACATGATTCCTAAGTCGAAGTGACGAGATGTACAGCTTGTCAAATGTAGGAAGAGCTTTCTGAATTCCGTTATGGTCCCACCCACTAGATGTGCGTTCGGTAGAAGACTATGAGAGCGAGAGAGATATATAGATAGAGATAATTCTCAAGTCTTCCTAAATTTGAAAAGATGTACCTTTGTACGGAAATTATGGCCTTTCAAAGATTTAAAAAATCTACCTTTTTTGTACACAAAAAAATTGGGAAACATATAATTTTATTTACCTCGTCGCTTTACACACTCTTCCATTTTGCTTTCTGAGCTAATTTACATTTTCATTTGAAGTTCATATATTTTTGTTTTTTGAAGTATATAGGCAAAATTTATGATAAGAGTGTTAATGACAAGTTGCATAAATCTTTATCTGATTTTTTCAAACCAGTACCATTTCTGGGTAAATTTACTAATTCATTTTAAAAAGTATTTCGACTTCAGGGGAGTGAAAACCATAAAATGGAATATTTAAAAATTCACTTCTCAAACTGATGACAACTGTTAAAATAAATACAATCACTGGTTAGAAACTGTATTTTGTAATCTAATGAAAGTCTTTGGACATGAACAGAAAGATGAATGGCTTTACCTAAAATGCCTACTGTTAAATTCAAAATGAATTATAGAAGTGGATCAATGCTTTCAAGAGATGAACATATATGGTTTACGAAAACAAATCTTATCATTTAATCTAGTTGTAGATATTCAAAATGCTGTTCTGGGCGAAACCAAACAAGTATTGGAGATCATGGTAATAGAATAATCTATTATTCCAGAAACACATTGCATATTATTATATATTTGTAGGAGGAATCAAAAGAAAAAGTTTCAAACCTACAGGAAGACCTGAAGCAAGCTGAAGATAGTATTGAACAACTGGAAAACTCTATTAGGATTCGCAAAAACACAAAAAATGATAACTTGGCAATCATAGAATCTAATGAAACCTTCAGAGATGATGTTAAAGAGCTGAATAGAAAATTTCTTACTTCTGCCCAATTAATTTATTCTTGTGGTCAGGAATTTTTCCAAGAACAGAGTTTATATGAAACTCAATTAGATAAAAGAGAGGGAATGATAAGTGAAGAAACGTATAATTCGATGGTGAAAGAATATGAAGCTCGAGAAAAAAACCTGTCTGCTGAGTTGAAAAAAATCGATGAACAAAACCTTGAACTTAAAAAAAATTTGCGAGCAAAGCACCAAGAAAATGAAAACCTAAATATTGAACTGAGTAATTTAATCAGGGAAGAAGAATTTTTCAAAAAACAATATTTAGAAAAAGTACATGTTTTGGACCAGGAGAAGGCAATGTATTCTACAGAAATCGAAAGTCTGAGTAACATAATTGCTTTAATGGATCATGACCTGTGTGGAATGCTTCGCTCCATAGATGATACAATTAAAAGGAATGCAAACTTAGAACAATCAATAACAGAACGTTTGGATGACACTGACAAAAAGTAAGTATCCTTTATAGATATTTTATTGATATACCTATGAGCATTACTATTATATATTTTTTTCTCAACAATATACTGACATTTCAGAATAGAAGGACTGCAGAAAGAATTCTTTGCTAAAAAGAAACATTTTGAAGATCTGACAAATCTTAGAAATGATATGAACACTGAAATTATGAAAACTGAATCGTCAGTAAAACTGACAGAGGTTCAAATTTTGCAAACAGATATCGAGAAGAAAGATATCGAATCGAAATTAATGACACTGGAACAAACTAGTATCGGTGCAATTAAGGCACATGAAGATTTTATCACATCTTATGAAAAAAGAGCAGCAGATGAGAAACAAGTGAATTTTAAAATATCTGCGGTAAGATGATTATATTATTTAGGCCGTTTTTTAGCTGATATCCCACTATTGCTATCTCGTAAACGGTAAGACCTACAAGGTCGGTCAAATTGGACAAACGTTTTCTATTTTGGGAAGCTAAAAAAATTTCTTTTCAGATCGAGAATATCAGTGAGTCCTATCCAGATTTTTTTGACGATTTTTTTTTCAAGATGCAACTGAAGAACATGCAAATAGACTTTTGAACTAACTGCTGAGCTGAAATTTCATCGTAATATTATTTATTAGGTTGTTTCAAAAGTTTTGTCGGTTTTTATAAGTCTACTTTAACTGTAATATCTCTGTGAATTCTTATTCAATTTAATCGAAGTAAGCGACATTTGAATCAATGCACTTTCGCCAACGTTACACAAATCGACTAATTCCGTCAGCATAAAAATTGGGTGATCGGGATTCGATGAAATCGACGAAGGCCGTTTTTCCTAGTTGTGATTGGCCAAGGTTCTACCGGTGAGAAAGTTATCGAAGTGATTGAAAAGATGGTAGTCGGCTGGCGCAAGATCTGGGGAGTATGTAGGGTGAGGCACAAATTCGACGCTCAATTTGTTTAATTTTCGGACAGTGATTTGTGAATCGTGCGGATGGGCGTTGTCTTGGAGCAGGATCGGACCTCTTCTATTGACCAGTGCCGGCTGCTGCTGACGCAGTTTTTGGTACATTTTATCGATTTCCTCACAATAGGACTCTGATGTGATGGTTTCACCCGCTTGCAGAAAATTATATAGTGAATCACACCAGCCGCTAAAAACCATACAGTAACCATGGTCTTTTTTTGGTGAGTTTTCGCCTTTGGGAAGTATCTGGGTGTCCCGTTGGTGTCCAACCATACTGTCTTGAACATCTGTTGTCGTAGAGGATTCTCTTTTCATCACATGCCGACAATTCGATCCAAAAAATGATCGTTTTGGTTGCGGAAAGGCAAAGAAGAATAGACCTCGAAACTTGACAATGGATCCTTCAGATCGTAGGCAAGATTTTTGACCTTTCTGAAAATTTTTGAAACCATCAAAAACCGCATGGCAGCTATCGCCCAGTTATTCCGCCATCTCAGACACTAATTGTGATGGGTCAGTCTCCACCAGTCTCCACCATTAACATTATCACTGCAATATGCCTGGTTAATTTTTCCGGCTGTTTCGTCAGCGCTTTGGTTCAATTTGAATTCGTAGAGAAAAAAATTAAAAATTTGGAAAGAAATGAACAGCATCAATGTATAGAGTAAAAATTTCTCTATCGATCAGTATACAGGGTGTTTATTGAACATGCGGTAAAAAATTAAGAGACTATTCCTTGGACTATTCTAAGGATATTTTGTTCTTTGATGAAGATACGGGGCGAATTTCGATAATAACAATTTTGGTAATTTTAAAATGATTAACGTAGTCGAAATAAAAGTATAGCGTACTACACTGGACCTACCAAGTAATAAAAAATCTAACAATTCCGTGAAACAGGACCTGGAAGGCCAATGACAGTAAGAATGGTAGAAGTAGAAGAGAATGTGCTGGCCATGATAGAAACATATCTACTCGAAAAATTGCAAATACTTTCAATGTAAGTAACGGGACGATTTGGAACATTCTTAGAGACTATTTGTTGTACCCATACTTCTTCCTGCAGATTTTCTTCCACGTATTGCATTCTGTCAATGGCTTTTGTGCACATTGGTTCAAATCCCTCAACTTCTGACGCTCAAGCCGGAATTACATTATTATGTTGTGGTGTGTTGTGATGCTCTCTGACGTTACGGCGAGTGTGCAGACTGCAGACTATTCTGTCGTGTCGGGACGCGCTCTGACGTTATTTCCAGTCAATACATTGGTGGCCTTTGGAGTAAACGCATGCGAGCATCTACAATGTTTTCCTCCAATTCGGATAGTGATATTGAAGAAAACCTTGCGTGTCTGCTAATGTTAAGTTTACTCAAAAAGAAAAGAAAAAAGAGAAAATATTGGATTCATCCAGTAAATGATCTGAGAGGTAGTCGAAGCAAATATCATTTACTAGTAAAAGAACTAGTGTGTGATGAAGAAAGATTTCATCAATGTTTCAGGATGTCAAAAATCAATTTCAGATATTACATACTATGGTAGAAAATGATATTAAAAAATGCAAATACAATTTCTTCTCATGCTGCAGTTCTTAAGAGATCCTGGTATTCTTTACATTTTGCATTATACAACACTTTATATTTTCTAACAAGTTCAATAAGTTCGTCCGACATCTTGGTCACAAATAAATGCAAACGACTATTCTCTAAAGTTAGTAAACGCGTCAGATTAGAAACATACTAGTGTGGAGTGTTGTGACGCGTCATAACCCCACCATCGTTCTGACGCCGATCGGAAATCAACTGATCGCCGTCTCGACAGATCGCGTCCCGACACACTGCACTTTAGTAATATAATTCTAAACATACTAAATGCATGGATACGATATACTTGTGGCGCGTCACGACACACCATGACACAATAATATAATTCCGGCTTAATTCCAGTTTCTCAAGAAATGCCATAAGGAATTTCCACAATAACCATATTTGAGCTGAAGAAAATCCACATGAGGTGCATGAAGATCGCTTTCAACATCAGTTCTCGTTAAACATTTGGATGGGAACTGTAGGTGACTTCCTAAGGAAGTCAGGAAAACTTACCGGCGAGGTATACCGCAACTTTTTGGAACAAACGCTATCTCAGTTTCTGGAGGAGGTACCATTGTATACAAGAAATGCAATGTGGTTTATGCACGATGGTTCACCAGCGCATGTTAGCATATTGGCTCGAGAGTTTTTAACAGTAAAACATACGGAGATTGCTGGATTGGTCGAGGTAGACCTCATTTATGTCCTGCTCGATCATCGGAGTTAAACCCTCTGAGTTATTTCCTATGGGGCCACCTAAAGTCATGAGTTTATACTTCCCGATTGGAAGATGTGGAAGATTTGACAAATCGGATATATAATTGATGGGTGTAACGCAATCATAATCAACCCTGGTGTTTTTAAAAGAGTTCGGGAGTCGATGCATCTGAGCATTTGAAACAACCTAAATATGTTGTTTTATATTTTGATTGTCTGTAATGTTCTCTCAGTATGTATTAATTTATATTTTACTGGCTGTTGTCTGAAACTTTGATGACGTGAACTCTAGTTTTTGGGTTTCCCCAGAATTTCTAACAGCAAAGAGTTCTCATGTATTTGGTTTGTAAGAAAATCGTTTCACAAAATAGAATATAGTTAACCGTTGTTTCAGCCAAATTAAGTGAAGAGTAGCACTTTTTCCAAGAATTGTTTGACATGACTCTTTAAATTGGCATAACTTTTTATTTATGAACCGAATTAAATAAATGAATGTTAAGTGAACCTACCACCATATATTAGTGCACAAATGCTCAGACAGACAAAAGTTATGAAAGTCAGTGTTTTGGGTTATATTGTGTTCAATCTAACTATTTATTAGTCATGGAAACATTATGAATGATTTTATTTTCCAGGAGTTAAAGGCCCTAGAGTTAAAAATTGAAACATTTGATAAAGAAATTCAAGTTATGAAGAACTATTCAGATGATATTGAAGGTTTACCAGAAACTGATTTGGAAAAACAACATGAGCAAAAACAAGCTATTATAAATGAAATAAAAACAACAAAGCAGCAATTAAGTGAACAGTTGAAAATTGTCAAGATAGAACAACAAGAAAAGATTAAAAAGGAACAAGATGAAATTACCAGTATGGAAAAAACTATAAAACAATTTGAAACTGACATCAGCACTACAGAAGAGAAAATTAACAAATTGAAAGCTGATGAAGAGTTAATAATCACAGAAAACTTAGAATTGGAGAAAAAATGGATTGAACTAGAACGAGAAATTGAAAAACTGAAAGAGGCAGTACGCGCCAGAAATGACGACATTTTCCGCGTACCTGATAAAATTTTAGAGTCTACATCTGTTACACCCAAAATAGTACCAAAAATTCCACCAAGCAAATTTCGTAACTGGGACAGTGATACCAGTATTGAGAGTGAGGATAGATCTTTCGCAGAAAGAGCAAGACAGAAGATTAAAAAAATGAAAAAAAAGATATAACTAAATCCAGGTTCCAAAAATGTTTCACAAAATAATCACATGAATAATACATCAAGTAACTAAAAAAGTATCCTCAGTTTCTATGAATTTATTTTCATATATTATTATGATTTTCAGAGTTTATTTCAAATTAAATGCAAAAATTGTAACTTAAGTTTTGATAATTGCTTACAAGTTATAATAGATACTTGTTTTGTTAGTTATTTTATATGTTGTTATTAGAATTTCTATGGCATTAAATTTCAAAAATTATAACTTGTTTTAATATAATTGCTAACAAATGCCATGTAGAACATACTCCTTTCATTTGGCGGTGGATTACTTTTTCATAAAGAATAATTCAGAAAACAACTACATAAGAGAGTAATTATTGTAATATCGCCGACAAAAAACTATTTTTCCGAAAAGTGATTTAAATTAATTTTTTTGGAGGCGATGAGTCTTCAGATGGGGTCAAACTATTTTTTTATTTTGTTCAAGTAATCATTTCTACAGACATTCGAACATATTCAATATATAGCAAGCGTCAAATGTGATATGGCGAGAGTTCGCGCAGGTATAGACTCTCCCATGCCCCAGTAAATTCCTATTGGATTACAATAAGTCTCTTGCCGGCCAGTGTCGTATCTATATAGTTTTAATTAGGGTAGCAGATGGAACATGAATTATTTGTAATTTCTTTTCATATTTTATTCAGTATTATAGGTAGTAAAACAGTTCATTGAAATGGTATATAATACACAAATTGTTGCCAAACGCCAACAGCATTGGAGGACAAGTGATGATACGCCTCTGTACAGAGCATTTGTATGTCTTACAAAAACTGTAGTGGGAGTTATATTGAAAACGAGTTTGTGCGCATAGGGGCGGGCTCGCCATCAAGTTTGGCGTTTGCTGTACCTATATTTTCAAAATCACGATTTTGAAATTCTATTTTAAAATAGTTTTTCAGTCTCGACTTTATCTACTACTTTTTTCGGTGCACATCCTATAGGTAGTCTGCAATGCTTATTGAGCACTGCGAGAGGCTAAATGGAGACTGGGCAAGAAATAAAAGATCAAAACTGTGCTTTCAAGGTTGTCGAAAACATTGTATATGATGATCATCGATGACTTGAATTGTTCTATTTTGAATGGAGTTGAGAAATCCGAAAGTGTTCTTCTGGGTTCCACATAAGTGAATATTATTTTTAACACTGCCATTCTACGAGAGAATACTAATGATGTTAATTCCTGTGGATAACAAACGTTATGTGATATTGACCGAGTTTTCATTAAAAATAATCATTTGAAGGTCTCGCTAAATGTTGTATTTACAGTTGCACTGTTCTCTCGCCCTGAATGGTATCATCTCCTGCTGCCAGGGATTGACTGATTTAAAAAAATCAGAAACCCTGAGCTTATTGAGAAGCATCATAGACTCATTCGAATAGTTTTTGAATTACCGCCAACAGTTAAGTTTTTCGCCGTTTGTGTATATTCCTATTTATTGAAAATCTACCCTATCCTCAATACATTTTTTGCAATAAATGATTCATCTCATAGTATTTCGCATTTTGAAATACTGATAATAATATAGCTAATATATTTGTTCCTGGTTAACTNCTTTAAAATACACATAATCGTGATTCAGTTGGAAATGGTTCTTGGAAAACTTGGACTTTAGTCATTACTCTTAACTTAAGAATCAATAATATATTTTTTTTTAATTTCAATAAAGAAACAATTGTTGAATATTAACACAGAATGTGTTGATAATTTCATCAATATTGTTGGAAGGAGACGATGTTACATCGGGATAGACAGATATATGTACAGCCTAAACCTATTTTATATTTGAAAAACATCGAGCAGAGGTGGCGAATAACTTTTCGAGAATGGAATAGGATTACTTTCAATAAAACACAACTATTGTTGTCTCATTACATCTGTAAACGGAATCACTCATAAGATTACTGTTGAATTTAAGAACTCGCCTCCACTCAAAACTCAGAATAGAAATGTTTCTATTCTGTGGTCGAAATGTCAAGTCATAATAATTGTTTTATGTTGTTTGTGTTAGTATAGGGAAAGTAATTTTATCTTTTACTAATGTTTATGTTTTTTATTTAAAAATGTATTTAATTTCTACTGATAAACTATGTTTATCTTTTTATATTTTATTTGTGATCAACTCAGCTCTGATAAGAGGTAATCAAACATTTCATAATTAATTTCTTTATCTAGCCTCTGATTTTAAGATCAATTGGGCGAGGTTCCTTACCTTTATTTGTTGACTCATTTTCAAATTCTGTTTTTCAGTTTTTAATTGAAGCAATTTTTTGACAAATAACATATAAATATCGTGATTTTCAGAATTTGTGACATATTGTAAATTATATGTGACCAAATAATTCAAAATTTTGAACTACTTGGATGCTTTAAAATTATTTCTCGAAATGTAATCTAACAATTTTTCAATTACAATGATTCTAGATACGTCTTGAGTTAGAATGATGAAGGATATTTTGGAAATATTTGATAGATATGATCTATGTGATATTCAATTTCATAATATTGAACTGGTAAAAATAGACAGTTGAAAGGTGTAAACAGAAATGAAAAAACAAGTAAAGGGGTGTTTACTTGTCGTTTAAATTTTCTAGATCTTCTTTTTCAATCACCCATTGAATTAATATATTAGAATAATGTGCTCAAAAGGAATTTTTTATTTTCTAATACCTTTAGTTGATGATCAAAATTGCCAATATACATTTAAATATGTAACCAACATTTTATAATACTTGAGAAAAAAAAACTTTTCTGAAAATGATTTTGAAACAATTCGGGGAATTGACACAAGTACAGTTTGGATTTCCTCCGAAATACGGAACAAGTATTGTTAAATTGAAAGTAATTATTGATGTAGGTATAAATGAGTCTTTATCATCATTTATAGTAATTCTAGCAAAGTTCAAGGTTTTTTGTCAAAATTAAAATTCTTTGGTTTCCATGAAAGTGTTTTGGCACAAAAAAGCTGGTGAAAATCGGATTCATAATTGAACACAGCATAATCTGCAATGAACGATATTTTTTTTAAAGTAACAGAAACACAAATGATGCAATTGTTTTCCACAGAAGATATTCAGTGAGAGGGATATTATACCAACAATGAAATTCCATTATCTTCATATAACCTCTTTAGAAAATAGGCCTATACAGGATGACTTATTGTTCCTTAACAAAATATTATCAGGGCACTTTTATTGTCCCGAGTTACTCAATTTGATTACCTTTAAGGACAAGAGATACTATGGAAGATAAAACTGTCTTCATAGTTGAAATTCACTTAAACTGTTATTATAACACTCCTTCAACAAGCGTTTTGAGAGAGGCAAAGAAATCTAGTGTTCAGTTCATCAAACTAAAATTAGGTTTATTTAAGTTTTCATACATTATGAGAGTTAGTATTTATACTAATGGAATACTTGTATTTGTAGGAGTTATCCCATTTATACCTATGAATAAGTAAATAAATGAAATCAATTTTTGCATTAGCAATGTTTCACCTTTTTGCCTAATTGCTGCCAAAAAATGTAAGGACGTGTTCAGGAGCTAATTTTACGAAATATAGCTAGAAATGCATGGTACAGGGTGTTGAAACTTTTCTAAAAAAATCCTTTTTTGTATTAATACTGTAAATATCCAGTGTCAGAACAATGAATAAAATTTGACAAATGTCAAATATCATAAACAATTAGTTGTTGCTTTTTTAATGCATAGCACACCAGTTACTTGTACCCGCTTTTCATATTTTCATCGTTTCAGAATATACAAAGATATAGAAATGTTTGCCAAGCACCGCGTTTTTGTGATCATTTTTTCAGCTTCCCGTCAGCTGCGCCCCACCCAGGTTCACAGCGCTCCACCTTTTGAAATCGCGTTATTTGCAAAAAATTTTAAGGTATCGTGGAGTTCAAGTATTCCATTTGTTTTCATGAAAATTTCAGTCTTCAATGGTCATAAGTAAAGGCAAGGCAGATTTTTGAAAAAAAAAATCTGAACTCTTGATTGAGCTAGGACATTATAATATGCTAAAAGGGATTTAATGATTTCATTTATAGGGCAAAGTTTTTGGAAAATTGTTCCCTCTAAGGATGGTACTGTTGAAGATGTAAAAGATAAACTCACTTGGTGCACCATTAGTCCAGAAGAACAACTGAAGTGCCAAAATTTTTCTGAGGCTAATGATTGGGATAGAATTAGAGTTGCATCCAAAACCATCAAAATCGAATGTCATCAGGCAGCAAACAAAGATGAATGCATGCAGCTACTGGACGAGGAAATAGCTACAGTCACTACACTTGATGCAGGAGCTATATTTGTTGGAGGGCGATATCATAGTTTAGTTCCAATTGCCCAAGAGATTCTGGAAGGGGGTCATACTTACTATTATGCTGTAGCTGTGGTCAAAAAAGGAACATTTGATTATATATCATCTTTACATCAATTACGTGGTAGGAAAGCCTGTTTTGCAGGTGTACAGACCTTTGCTGGCTGGGTTTTGCCTATAAATACAGTAAGATATCAAACTTTAGGCCAACCATGTTGATTATTCCAACTATTTCTTTGGTCCATATGTATATGTTGTTTTATTTTAGTTAATGAAAGAAGGTGGAATGGAAATCATCGACTGTAACAATCATGTAAAATCAGCTACAAACTACTTCGGCCCTTCTTGTGCCGTAAACTGCTTAACAGATCAGTATAATCCAATAGGAGACAACTCTGATAAACTGTGTCAGTTGTGTATTGGAGCAATTCCAGGAGGTCGCTGCACAGATTCAGATCCATATGCAGGTTATGAAGGAGCATTTCGATGTCTACTTGAAGCTGGTGAGATAGCTTTTCTCAAACACAATACCGTTCCAGAACTTTTAGCAGCAATGGAGTATGGTAGGTATTGAGAAAAACATTTTTCTAATTGTTTTGGGCCTTGTTAAGTATACTTATAGTATTGAAATTTGTACATTTCATGTCCAATAACAGCAACCCTCTTCTCGATGCGCATTTCATGTACAAAGTTGGCATGCCCTATTTATATCTAACTTCCTGAACATACATCAAAGATTTCGCAGGCACAAATTGACGGACAATTTCCTATAACCCAGGCGTCTCCAAACTACGGCCTGCGGGCCAAATCCCGTTCAGTGCCAGCCCGTGACAGCCAATGATTTACTGTCATCAATCTGGCCCGCGACAGCCAATGATTACCTAATTGTTGTTACTATTGCTGTGATAAGTTGAAGAAGAAAACACAGAATGATAATTACTCGGTTTTATTTACTTGCAAGGTAAAACTTAACGACAGAAATGATGACAAAGAAAACTTAACTTAAGTATCTAAGTTTAAGCATATT